ACCAGCGGGGTCAAGCGCACGTTCTTTGCAAAGCTCAGAAAAAAGAACACTTGAGGAGATCGTGTCGCCAGATGTTGCTCACCTCGCATTTTGCAGCAAGTACAGCACCATCGCAGCAATTTCACAAGCAAAATTTCTTGGGTCTGGCAACGCTGGGCATGCCGCACGCTGCTGTGCATCATTGCTGGGCACACATGTCCTTTGCGGTTGTTGGGGAGGTGTTTTATTTTTGGCGGGGGAGGCGGTTGTCGTTTTTGTTTTGTTTTGTTTTGTTGTTGCTGCTGCTGCTGCGGCTGCTGCTGCGGCTGCTGCTGCTGCTGCTGCTGCTACTGATGCTGTTGGGTATTACTGCTGCTTGGAGAGTAACAATAACACCCTTTTCAATTGTTATTAAACAACCCTCCAACCCCATTCCCCACAACAACATTCCCGCCCCCCTCTTGTTATTATTTCGAAGGGCGGGAGGGGTCTTGGAGTAGGTTGAATGAGTCCTTCTTTCGAATGACAACCAGGTTGAATTGTTGTTTTGAAAAATCAGAGCTCTGCCCCGGAAACAGCAATCCTCCCCCAGTCTATCAAAGGTTTGCACACACGTGTGCAAATATGATATCCGTTTGTCATGGTGTCTATATCGATTAAAAGACACTACATGTGTCATGTATGCACTCAATGCAGTGCCCGAGGATTTGCATTTTTGCCTCAGGTACATTGGGACGAACTTGCGGCAGATGGTTGACAGGCCAGATGGCATCTTTCTCTTTCGCCTCCACAAGGCCGGCAATGCGGTAAGGGCTGCAGAGGTCCTATGCGCTGGCTCGGTTCAAGCCATGCTCACGAGCGCCTGGCCGCCTTTTTTGCGCTTAATTAGACATCCCGGTGTTGGCCTGTGGGGGGGGATTGCGTTTACAACCAACAAAAGAGGCCGTTTCGTGGCGGCAGAGCCTTCCATCAATTTTACGCCCAGGACTCCCTGCGGGAGACTTTGCTTCCTTCAGAATAGGTGCCTAGGCACCAACCCTTCTAAACAAATCTGTTTGTGTACTTTTTAGGGCAACGTCCACGTCGAACGTCTAGATCTTTCCTTTGTGCCTGGAACTGGCTCCGTTTGAACAGACATGGACTTGGGTTTCCAATCTTTTTCCTGGGCCAGGTTGTGGCAGGGTCCCGGCCGTTCGGTCGCGCTCGGAAGCTTCAACCCACCCTAGACCAACGGAGCAGATTAGATTAGATAGATACATGAATGGACAGATCAGGTTGGGGTAGGCTAGATAGAAAGCTGGATGGGCGGATCGCATTAGATTAGAATAGATTGGTAGATGGATAGAGCAGACTAGATTAGCTAGATTGCTTAGATTAGATTGCATCAGATAGACAGATGGATACAGAGATAGACAGATAGAGAGATATAAACAAATACATAGATGATATGAGAGATAGATAGATAGGTGGGGAGATAGTTAGACAGCTAGATACATCGATAGATACAAAGATAGATAGGATGAGATAGATAGATGAGATTGATAGATGAGTCGACGAGAGAGAGAGAGAGACACATATAGAAAGCTAAACAGGTATTGTAGATAGATAGACAGATAGATGGATAGATAGACAGACAGATAGATAGATATATAGATAGATAGAGAATATAAGATAGATAGATAGATAGATAGATAGATAGATAGATCGATAGATCGATAGATCGATAGATAGATAAACAGAGAGAGAGAGACAAACATAGATATATAGATGGATGGATAGATAGATAGATAGATAGGTAGAGAGATAGATAATATAGAGATAGAGATGGGATATAGGTACGGAGATATTAGTGTAGATATATGAGCCACGGACAAAACACACGAAGACCACTTTATCAAGGCGGGGTACGTTTTTGCATAGCACATGCCAAAACCATGGAAAACGATAAGGTCTCCCCCAAAAACGATAACCCTTAACTAACACACGGCCCCGACACTTGTACTGAGAAGTTGCGATTTTCGAGCTGGAGATGCGGAAGTGTACTTCGCGTACTAGGCTTGTACTACAAAGCTGCGATTTTCGAGCTGGAGCTGCGGAAGTGTTCTTCGCGTACTAGACTTGTACTACAAAGTTGCGAATTTCGAGCTGGAGCTGCGGAAGTGTACTTCGCGTACTAGACTTGTACTACAAAGTTGCGATTTTCGAGCTGCAGAGGCGGAAGTGTACTTCGCGTACTAGACTTGCACTACAAAGTTGCGATTTTCGAGCTGGAGATGCGGAAGTGTACTTCGCTTACTAGACTTGTACTACAAAGTTGCGATTTTCGAGCTGGAGCTGCGGAAGTGTTCTTCGCGTACTAGACTTGTACTGCAAAGTTGCGACTTTCGAGCTGGAGCTGCGGAAGTGTACTTCGCGTACTAGACTTGTACTACAAAGTTACGATTTTCGAGCTGAGATGCGGAAGTGTACTTCGCGTACTAGACTTGTACTACAAAGTTGCGATTTTCGAGCTGGAGATGCGGAAGTGTACTTCGCGTACTAGACTTGTATTACAAAGTTGCGATTTTCGAGCTGGAGCTGCGGAAGTGTACTTCGCGTACTAGACTTGTACTACAAAGTTGCGATTTTCGAGCTGGAGATGCGGAAGTGTACTTCGCGTACTAGACTTGTACTACAAAGTTGCGATTTTCGAGCTGGAGATGCGGAAGTGTACTTCGCGTACTAGACTTGTACTACAAAGTTGCGATTTTCGAGCTGGAGCTGCGGAAGTGTACTTCGCGTACTAGACTTGTACTACAAACTTACGATTTTCGAGCTGAAGATGCGGAAGTGTACTTCGTGTACTAGACTTGTACTACAAAGTTGCGATGATCGAGCTGGAGATGCGGAAGTGTACTTCGCGTACTAGACTTGTACTACAAAGTTGCGATTTTCGAGCTGGAGATGCGGAAGTGTACTTCGCGTACTAGACTTGTACTACAAAGTTGCGATTTTCGAGCTGGAGATGCGGAAGTGTACTTCGCGTACTAGACTTGTACTACAAAGTTGCGATTTTCGAGCTGGAGCTGCGGAAGTGTACTTCGCGTACTAGACTTGTACTACAAAGTTGCGATTTTCGAGCTGGAGCTGCGGAAGTGTACTTCGCGTACTAGACTTGTACTACAAAGTTGCGATTTTCGAGCTGAGATGCGGAAGTGTACTTCGCGTACTAGACTTGTACTACAAAGTTGCGATTTTCGAGCTGGAGCTGCGGAAGTGTACTTCGCGTACTAGACTTGTACTACAAAGTTGCGATTTTCGAGCTGGAGCTGCGGAAGTGTACTTCGCGTACTAGACTTGTACTACAAAGTTGCGATTTTCGAGCTGCAGATGCGGAAGTGTACTTCGCGTACTAGACTTGTACTACGAAGTTGCGATTTTCGAGCTGGAGCTGCGGAAGTGTACTTCGCGTACTAGACTTGCACGACAAAGTTGTGATTTTTGAGCTGGAGATGCGGAAGTGTACTTCGCGTACTAGACTTGTACTGCACAGTTGCGATTTTCGAGCTGGAGATGCGGAAGTGTACTTCGCGTATTAGACTTGTACTGCCTGCCAAGTTTCGCTTTTCGAGCTGGAGCTGCGGAATTGTATTTCGCAATTTTCGGGCTGGAGCTGCGGAAGTGTACTTCGCGTACTAGACTTGTACTACAAAGTTGCGAATTTCGAGCTGGAGCTGCGGAAGTGTACTTCGCGTACTAGACTTGTGCTAGAAAGTTGCGATTTTGGAGCCGGATCTGCCAAAGTTCGAAAACACTGTAAAACGATAAGGTCTCCCCCAAAAACGATAACGTTAAAAAAAGTACTAAGGCCAAGTAAAGTGTTTCGTCCGCTCCTCATATATATATATATATAGCTGGACAGACAGATAGATGGATAGATAGGTAGGTAGGTGTATGCATGCATAGATAGGTGGGTAGATGTACAAATGCAAAAGGCAGGTAAATGGATAGGCGAACACAACGGTAGCTTTTGGCAATTGCAGATGTCAAAGCTAGGTCTTGTTTGCATTGATTGCAGCTGTTCCATGACACATATGGCGATGGTTTTCAACAAGGAACACCCTCAAAGTTGGTTCCTCGCCTAAATGATATCCACCAAAGGGCCTCCCATTGAAATCCAGACCCATTTAACTGGCCTGTGTCCTCGGTGGGACCCCATGTTTTGTGTTTGCGCAGCCAGCAAGATCGAAATGTCCTGGCAACGGGTAGCTTCCCACAGTCGGGAACCCAAATCCTGTCAACCCCTCCAAAAGAAGAGTCCCAATGATTTCAGGCATACCCAAACGGTTTGACGCCTCCTTGGCCCCTTAAACTGGTTCGACAGCACCATTTTGCTGAAACTAAACTCAAAGTGGATTGGATGCCGTGTCAACTCATTTGAACTCGACTCAGAGTGATTCAGGAGCGAGTCTTCTACATGAACGAGCGGCTGCTGAAACATGCAGGGCACATCCCGAAGAAGGCAGCGGACTGGTCAGTGTGTGCGTGTGTGGATATTTGTGTTGCCAAAGCAACCAAGCATGAAGGCACAGCTGTTTGTTTGTTCAAATGCCAGCAAACTTTGGAACGGAGTTGATATGGGCGTAGGTCAATCCTATTCAAATGTTCTACTTGGTACTTTTGTGCTGCTGACGTTGGTTTGAACAGTCACCTAAGCGTCAGGATGTTGTCATCACCTACGCGGCGTTTGGGAGCTTTTGTTGTTCCAGCGGCCATGAAGACTTATGACACGGATGCGGTTTCATTGGCTGGCACAACTATTATGTTCACACTACGGGTCATGCAAACACACACTCATTGATTCTTATACCGGTGGCTTTTGTGCAATCTGTATGTGCTGGTTCTTGCAGGCAATCAGGAACAGATGCCCACCAGCCTCTTAAAATTAAGCTTTTTGCAGATTGTCGTATTTATGGGATGTGCTTAAAGTCTTTGCTGGGAACCTTTTGCAGCAATTCCGCACAAATCGAGGCATGCCAAGGCGGCAGAAAGCAGAAAGAGTTGGTGTTCTTGTTGCCTGACAGACAAGCCTGTTTCAAGAAAGCAAGAGGGGAGCAAAGGGACAATTGAATCTCCCACTGATTCGCTTGATTGACAAGTGCGAACCTGTCCGCTTTCGGGGATGAGCAAGTAGAGCAGGGGACGGCCATTAACCAGAAAGCTACGCGCAAATGAGGTTTCCACACACCAGCCGGGCCCATGACAAGTAAACCTGTGGCTGGATGTGTTTGAGTTTACACTGGACTTGTCGACTAGATGTTTAGTTTCATGGCGTTCTATACCCAAACGTCTATGTGCAGATGCTTCGGCACAAGTGGTGTTGGGAAAGGATGTTTGTCCGCCAGACGGTTAGGGGAAGCAAGCAATGAATGCAATGAATGCAATGAATGCAATGAATGCTGATCATTTTGACCATGGCTCATGCGTAAGGCGGGCCCAACCCCAGGGGTGGCAAGCCGGCCGCACAATGTAGGATCTCCTCAGCGCCGGCGTGTGCATCGGCAAGGCGGGCTGCCGGATTCGAGTGAACCCGGGTGCCGGAAAGTGGACTGGCATTTTGAGGGGTGTTCAAAGTTTCTTTTGGGAGTGGGTTGCTTTAGACCTACAATGGCGTGTGGAAACTTACCCTACCCGCGGTATGTCGACTTTGTCAGGGTGTTCCGTTGGGCAGAAGGATGTGTGAACTTGACAGTTCCATCGTTGCGAGGTTGTTCTTTTGTTCTCCGTGAAAGTTCCGGATTCCTGTAGATGTATGCATATCTTTGTCAAACACATGAAGGACAACCCTGGCCCGGTGTGCAGGGAAGTTATTCATGACCGTGAATGGGCATGAATGAATGAAGTACAGCTGACAGGTGGCCTCGCCTGGCATGTACATCATCTTGTTGGGAGTTGGACAATTGTTATACGTTGTTGAAGGGCACCCTTTTGTCGGGCCACTCAAGTTGGGGGGGGTCCCCTGATTATTCTGCGAGATTCCCACATGGCAGGTGAGGACGTGGTTTTTTGAACGAACTTGGAAAACAACAAGTTTGTTCAAATTGGCTGATTGTGAAGATCAAGCGCACAATGTGACAAAATGGAAAGGTCACCATATTCCCGAAACCAAATGATGCATCGCTTGAGCAAGTTAGCGAAGCTGCAAAGCCCTTTTGCGAAGTGAGCAACGACCACGCGCCCCACACCATGGAAGCGGAACCCAAGCAAGAAGCAGTTGAGGGACACTTCACGGGCCAAGCACCTTTAGGCCTTTAGGTGTCTTTGCAAATGGGACTAAGGAATCCTATTCTCAGACCCATTCTGGTCAGGGAGATGGTTGGTCCCTGAACAAAAGGATTGGCGAATCACCCGAATTGATCCAAACCCGGGGGTTCTAAACAGTCCAAGTTGTTTGCAAGGGTTTGGGCAAGCGCAGCGTAAGGACACGCGAGTGTATTGTGCAAGCAAAGTGGCATGGGAAGCACCTTAGCGTCAGAGTTCCTTGCGACGTAAACTGCAACAGAGTTTTGGTGTTTGTGTTGTTTTCGCATCTCTTGTTGCATCCCCACTTGGCGATGTGATTCCAGTCAGCATCGCCAGCAAGTTTCTCTATGTGAAAAAGGATGTGGGCATGTTCACTGCCCAAGCGTCGTTTCAGTGCCCAACAACCTGATCACAACTAGATTGTTCAAATAATCCTTCAAGATTCCCAACCAAAAGCTTTACAGCTCGCGGTCTCAATTGGCTCTTGTGTGCCACTTGCAACCAATCCTGCGGCCAGTTCACGCACAGCCGCAAGTTCCGGCTTCTGATTACCGCGCTGGACTACTTGGAGCTTCGGCTTCTGAGGAATCCGCCCAGAGTCCCCCCGAGTCCCCGAGTCGAAGAGTTCTTGGGCTTGCTTCTTGATGGCGAAAGAGATAAAGTGAAGAACAATCTCATTTCACATGGACCCCCAATTTGTGGATGTCCCATTTGCTGGGTGTCCTAGCTGTATTGTCGGGTGCGAACTAATTGTTTCTTTGTATATTTGATAGACTTTTTGTAGACCCTGTTTCTGTGGCAAACAGACATTTCGGACTTTATTGGGAGCTCAGGAAGTGATACATCCCCGGTCCTTGCGCACCCAAGACTTGCGAAGCAGGGGAACCTACTAGGAACATAAGCCAACCTGCTTAATCGACGAATTGCCTCGTCTTTTGGACGTCGGCAACCGGCTCTGCTGTTTCTTGGATTGGGTTTGATTGAACCGACCGCCAAAGGGGAAAGCCAAGGCCCATTGCTCTGAATGCTGATTGGAGCTTAGGTGGATTGACCCCGGAATTCCATGGAGAGTCCTAGTGTTCCCGATGGAACTGGGAGCTTCAATTCCTGCTTTGACCGGGTATGAAGAAAATCACAGTGGCCTCAGGGAAACTAACATCCTAGCTCCCCAAGGGCCCAGGTGTGTGATTCGTTTTAGGTTTCCAGCACCACTGGGCTTGCCGTGCAGCTTTTTGTTTGGGCCAGGCCAAATGGGATTGTCTCCAACTGGAGCAACCCCCCAAAATCATAATTTTAGAGCGGGCAGTTTCCCTCGAGTTTTGTTTTTAAACAACCCCCAACACGAAGACACCACCCCCAAAGGCTTGTGGCGAAGGCCCGTTTTCGCCTCAGCCAAGGCGCGGCTAGCGCAGTACCGAGTGTGGCTGAAGCCTTCCGGAGAGCAGCACTTCGTGTACGGCAACCACGTGGTGAAGGCGAAGACGCGAGCACGGGAAGGGCTGGTTAGGTTTTGGACATACGTGTGCCCCACATATAGCAAGTGATCTAAACGCAAACCATGGGAATGTACGGGGCTGCGTTGAGGGTGTTCTCCATCAACATGGATCCGAACAAAGCGGTCCCCCGAAAAAAAGGGGGAACATTTGACTCCCTATGTTGTTGGCACACCATTGAATTCCCCACCAAGAGGCAAACCCTGGAGGTGGTCACAGGCACTGGCCTCAGGGTGGGTATCACTTTGGACCTGTTGCCTTTCCGCATCACCATCATGGAGGGCTATGTGTTTCTTTTGCTCTCGGGGCATCCGCCTTCGCAGATTGAAACGAGCTCACGCTTTGTTTCAAGCATTTCGGGAATTTGTAGCTACGTGCTGCTGAAAAGGACAATTTGAACACCCCCTCCCCACAAGTCGGCACAGGTTTTCTCCAGGTGCGACGTTAGGAAGGTGACACAGTCACAAGCTGCGCTTAGAGATCTAGAACCACGGGGGCCAGCAATTCTTGTCTAAGAAACAACACTAAGATGCTGCTTGGTTATCCTCGTTGGACTGGCCTATAGCAATTCTGGGAGTTTGAAAAATGCCCCGAAACAAACTGAACAAGGAATACCCTTGAAAGACCTCCATGGACTTTTGCTCGTTTAAACCGTGAGTCGGCAAACGCCACCGGAGTACAGATGCTAGGGCGCTGCTAGGGTCAATTTTCCCCAGATCCAAAGCCTCGCCCCGCAGCCTTGGCCGAGAAAAGAATCCGCGGGGGACGGACGCGCGAATTTTTCGCCGGAGCCATGGAATCCATGGCCAACGGAGGCACGGTACTGCAGGCTGCCCCCTCCAATTGGTGGTGTCTTGTTGAGAGATTCCCACTGACTGATTTTAGTCAGAACCCACGAGGTTACTCATTTTGTAGCGGCCACAGGTCGACTTTCACGGCTTCCACTTTACTTATCCTGCACCCTCAAACTGCATAGAGTTTCTCGTAATTCTAGTTTTCTGTGCTTCTTAAGCGTTCTTCGTGTTTTGTGCTGATTTGCGTTTGTTGCGTTGTTTTGCGGGAGTTTGCGGCTTTTCTGCGGGTGTTTGCTGACTCATTTGCGGCGATTTACGGTCGTTTGCGCTGAAAACTGGCAGAAATGTTTAGTCGTTTGGCCCAGCATGTTTGTGGACTCTTGCTGGCGCAACTCATTGATTTGGAAGAGGTTGATTGCAGTTGACATTCATGTAGGATCATAAGGGTACTGCTACACTACCATAGATTAATTCTGGCAGCTGCCCGTGTGATGTTGCCCGATGGGTTCCACAGACAAGGCGCTGTTCCAATGGAGTAGAAAGCAAACACATATTTCTGAACATGCAAGCAAGCAGGGTTGCGACTTCATCTGAAGTGACCATCGGGTATCTTCTGAGGTGTTTCTCGGCACAGCTTCCGATGCCATGATTCCTTTGCCCACCCAGTACTAGATTACACCGGCCCAACCCCTTTTTCCCCATGTTTGCTTTTGGCGGTATCCTTATTTTGCTCACATGTTTGCCCTGGTTTGTTTTTTGGTGACTTACACGTAATTTGGGAAGCGATACGGATTACCAGTCTCGCACAAGAAGTGACTGCATGCCGAATGTTGAAGTCTTGCAGATTGAACACAGTGTCATTCGAGGAGTGAGCACCACGGACGACCACTATTTCCTGATCGTTTAAGCACGGCTGGATCGATGAAAGTGCTCCGGTCCGACATCCCAAACTTCAACTGAGCCGATGTTTGACCCCGATGTCACAACTTGGCGGTTCCTGGCCATACCTTTCGACTGGTGGATCTTTAGAGTTGAGTGGGGTTTAGGACAAATCCGACCAACACTGTAATTTTTGGCAAGGGATCAACCAGGCACTAAGTCAACACTGGCTTGTCTTGCGGCGTCTTGTGTTGTCAACGGCCCCCATGTTAGAAAACTCTCCAAAACGGGTTCCACCAGTCCTTGACGCTTATGCCAGATGGTGGTGGTGTTTATTGTTGTATTGAGTGTAGTGGTATCCCATTACGGATGACGGATTAGGATTTGATTCAACGCATTTTTAACAGCCCAGATAGACCTCATCAGGCCAAAAGCCCGGACAGAGGCCGAGGCTTTGTTTTCCAGGCCCTGTGATCGAACAGCTGCTTTTCAGGCGTGTTAAATACAAATGCGACATGGGTATTGCAAAGGCCGTGAGGGAACTCTCGAGAAAACATACCTCTCAGTGTTTTGTCAATATAAGGAGCGCTGCATAGTTACCAGTGTAATCTCGTAGTCTTCCCTAAAGCTTGTTTAACAGTTTAAAGCATCCCAGAGCCCCTCAGAGTTTGGGCCAGTCCTTCCCGTGGCTCAGTGGCTAGGCTACACAGAGCCGCCCGTGGAGGGTTCAAGTAGGGGGCCTCAGCTTTTGGCTTCTGAACTGTCAGGCTGCAAAGACAGATTATCCTTCTGGGGGACGGGGTTTCCCTTCTGGCCCTATTCATTCCCAGCGCTTTTTGCCTTTTGTGTCCTTCACTTTCCCTTTCAAGCAGCAAAGTCTGTTCCTTTTGCAGGGGTCTAGATCAGGCTACGGGAAAATCAAGCGATTCTGTACTTCGGGCTGACTTCCAGCAAAGACGAATCCGTTTTGGGGACAGTGACAGGTCAGTGCCGCCTGTAACGGGCAAGCAGATTGGTGAATTGTAAAAAAAATCAGCAGCACAAGCCCTTTGAGTCAGGAAGACCCTCTGTATCCCCAAGAGAAATTGTCAAAAGCCAGACCCTGGCGGACAAACCGTGCTAGTTCGGCTGTGGGACAATGCTGCTGGTGTCCGGTTGCCGATGAATTGTGGGGTTGGTCAAAGTCTGCGATTGTGTTCTTATGAGCCCAGGTAAAGGATCGTGTTTTTTTACTTGGAAATATTGTGACTACCTCGGAGTCTCAAATGCTTTAAGTTTGTCAATCATGGGCACCCCAAAGTGGGCACCTAATTCATGCTGCATGAACATAGATATTTTGGACCCCAAAAATGATTGACTTTCCTTTTGGGTTGCCCTTTAAGCCAACCTTTTAAAGGGTGCCCGAGCCTCGAAACTCAATCCCAAATTGGGAGAGTCTCAAAACAAATGTTTGGTTCTGGTGGGAATTCCTGTAGCAACCAGCTGAAGGAAATTCTACATGAAATTGGCCGACCACCCACAAAAAGCACGTATGACCTCTAAACTAATCCACTTCTTGCGGAGTTCTTAGATTCCAACCAGAAGAGGGCACACTCCGTTCTGGCCTGCGTCAGGCGGCAACATCCTGGTCTTTCGCGGCTGGGGCGCCGACAAGCCGGGCATCGCACAGGCGAAGGGGGAAGCGCCTATGTTTCCCCATCGGGTGGTTTCCTAAAGCAAACAAACCGAAACGGGTGTCTAAAAATAGGGGTGGCCAAAATGATGTTGGTTTCCGTTTGGCTATGGAAACTAATCCAAAAGGGGTACCCTTAAAGTCACACACCCTTCAAGGGGTGGTTTCAAACATCACCTTCTAAGCAAACAGTGAGTTTCATTTGGGTTTATATTTTAAGTCGCACACATAGGGAGCTTTGTTTCCTGGGTGCTGCCTTCTTTACAAGTTTTAGGGGAATCCGAGACTCGCCCAGTGGGTTGGACAGGGTTGCTACGAACCGTTCCAAGAGAAGGGCCAACCGTTTGGTGAGTTCCTGGTCTTTAAGCTTTTTGGGCAGACCATTTTGGTGGTAAATTCACAACATGGACTTTCTTGGCCCAATCCACTCAGGAAGTGAGATATTGGGGTCTTTTCTTTTGTTTGCTGATTGACCAAGCTGTTGGCCCCCGAGTCGAATCGAAGCACCCCTGGGACGGGACCAGTGGAATTGACCTGGAAAGGATGGCAACTCAGATACGAGGCAGAACAAGTGCCCTTTAATTAATTGTGGGTTGAATTCGAAATCAAAGAGACCATGCTGCAACAGCTATCGCAGAGACCAAGCTGAAGCCTATGAAGCGAGAAGGTGGATTCGTAAAAGAGATGGATGTGAAGCGAATCAAGGTCGTCCTTCTTGGTGAGTCCAACATGAAGCTAAACAACGAGAAAATCAGCACAAACCAACATGCAAAGGACTGAGCCAGCGGCATGACCCATTCGCCAATGCATTTTAAGGGATGGGAAGGCCGCACCCCCTACTTGTACAGGCGGCTCAACATGCCACACGCGTCCCAAAACGGGACCTTTCTCAGCTTTATGCTTGGTTTGAACTCGTCCGTGTTGCAACTGAATCGCAGATAGAACAATCCTGTAGGTTGCCATTCATAGAAGGCTTTTGCCATCTCAACTGGTGCAGGATTTTCATCCACTATATTGCTCTAGGGGAAGCTTCCCCATTCTTTCCTGGGATCCTTCTTTTCAGGAGACCATGAAACACTCAGAGGAAGCAGCTGATGTTTTGAAAGAACGATGGTTGAAATATGACCTTTGCTGTTGCTTTAGCTTCTTGGTTGACGTGCCTGCCTCGCCATCATCTAAGATCTTCTGGGGCAACACGATGTGCGGCCAAAACATCCATAGTCTCTAGCAACTGCGTATTGACCGTGGCTTATCCGAAGCCACGGGGACAAGTCAGAGGCAGCTCGTTTCCTTCAGACACCCCATGTCATATTTCCTCTCATCACGAGGATGCCCAGCAAGGGTTGGGGCTTGACACGCCTCAGGCGAAATAAGGCCAATAGGGCCCTGAGGGTTGTGGGAAGGGAGGGGTCTTGGTGGGTGGGTTGGTTCCCGCACTCCTGCACACCGTAGGCCTTTTTGCGGATCGTCGTGGAACATCAGAGTGAGGCCGGGCGGATGGGATTGAGAGGTATTAGAAGCTGCTGGCAGCTGTCGGGGCATGTGTCAAATATGAAGGCCAGCTAATTAGTTCGTTGTGTTGCTTGGTGTGATAAGTGGAGATCAGTTCTGTTCCAATGTTTTCTCTTTTGAACAACAGAGAGCCAATCTCCATTGACCCACAGAACCCACAGCTACTGGGTGCGTTAAGTCAACCTGGGTAAAGCCGACCCGGACGAGTGTGCTCATGGGGATTCCCATCAAAAGGCTGCTTTTGTGCATGTGGTCGGCGTGTCCAACTGTATGTTCATGCATGTGCGCATGCTTTTGTTACGTTTCAAGTTGAAGCCCATCAAAGGCCGGAAATGCCAGGCCTTGCTGACATTTGCGGCGTGTTTGACCGCAACAGTTGGGCAATCCAGCTCCTTCCCCATTCGCTCCATGGATCCTTCTCTTTTCCGAATGTCTTGTAACTGTTGGAAGAGAATGATGGAATCCTTGGAAGATTAGTGGAAAGATTTTGGTTTCCTGCTCGAGAAGGCTATGAAGCTTCGGTGTTCGATTGGTAGAGCAATGGAGTTCAGACCGGGGTCCTTGCACCGCCCTTGCACCCCTCGTGTTTGGTGGTTAACATCACCTTCCTTCTGGCTGCCTTTCAATATAGGGGTGCCGGAATGGGTGGTTTTCTGAGTTCTCTTTTTGAGAAACATCAACAAGGCTTCTTGTTTGGTGGCTGGTGATGTAAAAGGGACATCTAGTTGGCCATCAGTTCAGATGTTTCAGTCAGACTCCCGGTTAAGGCATCTACGTGTTTGGGTTTTCCTGCATTTCCCCTTTCAACATCTTTCAACATCACCCACCAAAAGGAAACTCGCATGATATAGCCCCCAAAAGGCGATGTTCAAAACCAGCAGACGCGCTAGCATAGGGAAGCCTGCGTTTGGTCCCGTGTTGGGCACTCAGGGTGAGCAGGTGAAGCATCTAAATCCTTACCCCAAAGCGCATTGATCAGTTTTGGTCGAGGGTCACAAAACATGAAGCTTGTACTTCCCGGATCTTTGGACAAGTGAGAAGAACCTCCTTGGCAAAGACAACAAGTTTGGGACACACGGTGCTTCTCTGAGTATTGATTGCCGAATTCGCTGACCCCCGAATCCCGAACCAACATACATGTTTCGGCTTTTATAGCACTTTGGGTTGGTCCCTTTCTTCATTTTGCCTCTCCCCGGTGCTTAATAGCTCATTTTTGTTTGATTTGCCCAAAAGGAATAAGCCAAAATAGGATGGACATTCTTTGCCCAGACCCCTATTCCACACCCAATCTTGTTCTCCAATAAAGAGAGTGCTGCGATTGCTGACAGCTACAGGCCTTGATGGGGAAGATCCATCCAATGAACAGCATGTCGATCTAGGAATCAAACAGGTGCTAGGTTAGATTTTGGACTGAGATACTGTTGGAAGTTGTACTGCGGCTTGATCTTCAACCTACCTTCTGAGAAAGAACAGTTTCCCGTCTACAAAAGGGTGCGACGTTTTGCTAGTGTCACCCAGTAATCACTTCCCCCTATTAAAAAAGGTCTCCCTAATAATAAATAATTGTTTCAGAAGTCCCAAATCCGGGAATACTACTTTTAGAATAGCCAATACTAAACCAATTCTAAAGTAGGTATTTTCCTGCCCGTACGCAAATCCAGCCCCATTGGGGCGTTTCCTTTACTACGGTTGTACTACAAAGTTGAGCCAGAGCTCCGGGAGCACGTTCCCTTTACTACGGCTGTACTACAAAGTTGCGACTTTCGAGCCAGAGCTCCGGGAGCACGTTTCCTTTACTACGGCTGTACTACAAAGTATCGACTTTCGAGCCAGAGCTCCGGGAGCACGTTTCCTTTACTACGGCTGTACTACAAAGTTGCGACTTTCGAGCCAGAACTCCGGGAGTACGTTTCCTTTACTACGGCTGTACTACAAAGTTGCGACTTTCGAGCCAGAGCTCCGGGAGTACGTTTCCTTTACTACGGTTGTACTACAAAGTTGCGACTTTCGAGCCAGAGCTCCCGCTACTTAAATTCCCCACTCGGAATGTACGTTTGATGCAATTTTTCAGACCGGAACAGGGGACAGTTGCAGACAAGCTTACACAGAACAAGAGGCACCTTCAAAACCTGACCTCCAGATCCAGGGGACCCCTAATAATATTTTGTTGGGTTGCTACCCCAGTTTTGTGTTGTTGCAGCCTAAAGGAAATCTCCAGCATCCTCCAGCCCCCCCTCTTCTCCCCGCGCTTTTAATTTGAGGGCTTTTCCCCAACAAAGCGGTCTGTTTTGATCTCATGTTGCTGGTTCAGCGAATATGTAAGCCAAAGTTTGTTTGTGTTTGAAAAAGCTGGACCCTCAGTGATTCCATGGAAGCTCCTAGGACTCTGGAATAAGCCCATCGGTTGCCTTCTGGGAACTTCCATGTTGGTCTGAACGGTAACGGTCTCACTCCAAAGCGATTTCTGTGAGGTGCTCGACATGGCGCAATTCTTGCTGGGCGGCGGTTTGATGTTCACCTTTGTCCTCAAGGTGGGGTACCGTGAGAAACCGACGGGTAGAAGGGAAATGACCGTGGGCGTCTTTGGGTTGGGGTTTCAGGGAAACAAGAAGAATCCACCCATGTATGGAAGGCGGGCACGGTTTTCCTGGTTGGGGCAGGGGGAGTTGCACCTCTTCCCAGGAATCAGCCTGGATATTTTGATCACATATGCACTGGACACGACCAGTAGCCCATGATTCATTCGAGGGTCATACATGCGGGGGCTACCCAATCTTCTCTCTTTCCATAAGAGGGGGCCTACCCAAATGCAACATTTGCTAGCAGGTGTGTTGTTTGCTCAGCACCAAAGAGCAGTACTTTCTCAATCTTTGTAGATCATTCCTGGACCCAAACATATTGCAAGGGAAAAGGGAACATCTATAAACAAGATTGGTTCACTTGCAACATTTTGGGAATCAACGGTAGCACAATGACATCCTGGTAGGGACACACGCAAACACACACACACACACAGACACACGGACAAGATGCTCGTCTGCATTTGGAACTGCATTCCGGCGCATATCCCATTTCAACTCAGGTTCACGCAGGCGAACACGAGAAGCTACGTGCCTGTTGTGTGATAATCAGAGTTTTCCAACTTTCGAGTCAACTGCGGATGTTTCCGAACATGGCGTGGCTGGCCGTATTATTTGCCCTGTCCGCAGACTCCAGGTCTAATCCGAAAAGGTGAATTATCTATTTGTTGGAACGCCGATTCATCTTGTGAGTATCCATTGCTGCTTAATAATGTTGTCCCGATTGCAAAAACAAGATATCTCTTCTGCACAACGCCGGTATCAAATGACCCCATAAAAACCATGGGAACCTAATGAATGCAGGTTATCTTCTCGCTTTTGTTGTCTGTTCCTTCTGTGCCTGTCCCTTTTTCTTTTCGTTGGCGCTATTTTTTGGCATTGTAGTGGTAACTTGAAGGAAAACAACCCCAGTTTCCGACTTTTACCCCTAAAAGCCGTCAACAAATCATGGGCCGCAGTTCAAAGGGCCAGCATTTTCACGGGCTTACGTGTAACTCTCCCGTCAAACTCATGGCCCCATCCTCTCGCCACCCCCCAGGTGGCAGACCAGAGCTCCATCGGCCTCATGAAGTCCTTGTCGACCTGCGCCAGGGCACCTCGGCGGGGACCTGAAGAGGTGCTTCCCCTTGGAATTGCGGAAGCAAACCGCCCAACAAGGGCCTCAGAAAAGACATACCCATACTTCGCTTTTTGGTGCCTTGTAACGGCACCTTCTGGTTGCCAATCGAATTGAGTCACGCAGAAGTTCAAACAGAACTGGGCCTTTTGTTGACATTCTTAGCTTGCTACGAGCATCCAGGACAGTTTATCCAGCGGTACTAGGCGAAAGCCTCTGCGTTGAGATTCTTGCTAGGTATCTGCAAATGGGGTAACAACGTGGGGCGAGGAGCAAGCCGTTTGGATGCTCGCTTGAATCGTACACTTAGAAGGTAAATGTGTCCTACCAACATTATGGTGAATGGCTAACATGAAAACAGATACCCCACGTGCTAGCAAGAATACACTGCCCGGCCTTTGAGTTTGTAGGATTCCGCTTGGAGGAATGCGGTGACATCTTGGCGAAAAAACAAAAGAAGGTAACACAAATCCCAGCTCAATTCCCGAAAATGTGTCTTGTATCTCACTCCCTGAGTTGCCAGACTTTTAGCTTTGTGGAAGACCATTTGGATTTAACAGTTCGAACTGTAGGGGACAAATCCACCGGAAGTGATAAGTGACGTTTCTAATTTCGTGCTGTGTTTGTTTGGCTCTAAGCGTTGACTTGTCCCAAAGGACAACTTTGCATTTGTTCCTTCACTTGTTTGCCTATCCTGGGGGCATGTCCACTAACATGGAACCTCCCTGAAGCTAGCAACCAACCCCTGGCTCCCTTTAAGGGAAACCGAACGGATGTTGTTAAGCAATGGTTGAACGGGCAGTCAAGGAGTCGAACCCTCCAACTCTGCTTTCGGCGGGTGAACAAGCTCGCCATGATGTAGGCTCATTTCCTAGGGTTACAAATTCCTGCTTTAGGTGTTGGAGTTATTTCAGACACACCAGAGGACAGACGAGCAAGCACGGTTTCGGAATTGGGACTTGCAGATCTGTTTGCCAGATGGACCCCGAATCAGGAGCAAGGGCTCCAGCTGAGCTTCCATTTCCCAGACGCCCACCAGGCGCGTCCTGTCCATCCGGAAGGAGAGCGCAGAAGAACCCAGTTGAATGGGGATCCATGTTGTTTGACAAGAAGTCAAGTTGCCAAGTCGCATTGGAAAATTGAAATCTGTCCATTGGAGACAGGCTTTGGGAGAAGTTGCCTGGAGGTACCTCATGATCATGGGAGAATCGGATTTGTAGGCATGGGAGAAACATCTATAGTGACCGACACTTACTTAGCCCATGTTTTCCCCAACAGTTGAATTCCTGTGTTTAGAAACTACAACATGGTCCTGCCTTTGCGGCTTGTGTGTTTGGCTTTCCACGTTTCCTTTGACATGAGCCAGGCCATTGGGAAGTCCGAGAATGAAGCAGGCGATGGTGAAACCAGGCAACCTGAAATCTTCTTTGACATACATTGGAAGGTTCAGAACCGATGAACCAGAATATGTTTTTCTTGGTTGGGGGCATTAGCGGAGGTAAAAAAGGATAAGATAGATTGAAGTCACGGTGAAGGTATGGAGCTTGGGTTGTGCCATATTCATCAATGACGCCTTTAAGGCCTTTGACGATCGTTGCAGTGGTTGGCCTGAAACAACATAATCCGCTACGGGCCGAGCCTGCGTGAACCAACCTGGTAGATTAATAAGGGTGTTTCCTCAAAAAGTGAAGGATTATTTCTTGATTTGAACGGGATCCGTGAACACTCCCTATCAATCAAACGGGGCGTGTTAGCGACTTTCATTTGTTGAACACTTTATGTGTCGCCTTAGTTACACCGAAGCAAAAGCCGGGACTTTGGACATCCTGGAAGACCGTGTTCCTTCAACATAGCCTCCTTCTCGCAAGCGCTGCGTCTATCAAGTGTCCTTTCGTGTTGCTTTGCTCGAGCGCGCGAATGAGAAACGATACCATTTGTTTCCAGGTGTTACTGAAAGGATCCGGCACGCACACCACCGAACCCGTCTGCGACGGTCAACAGCTGTAATTGCGAGGAGCGGTTTATTCTCCCTATCACGGCTCGGCTCCGCCAGGTTTTTGATCCGTTTGACCAGAGGCACCCGCTTCACGGGCACCCGTGCATGGGCCTTTGGAAACCTCCTGACGGTTGTGCATTGGTTGCCCTGTGTAGTCAGTATTTCTTGGTGGGCTTCCCTTCAAAGTTAAACGAGCAAGTCCTTGAAAACTGGCGGCCAGTTGACCATACCGTACCTACGTAGCATGGGTGCTATCCAAACAGCTCTTTTCTTGGGGTTGAGAGGCATCGCTGTCACCTCCTGAAGACACCCGGAGCTATGACCTTGGCCATGGCAGGTTTCGCTTGGTTTATGGCTTCCTATGGGTTTGCCTTCACACAGCAAAGAAGAGGGGCGGTCCTGCAGGGATGGCATGGCGCACACTTACCAAGACTGTAGAGAATGGGTGCTCGCACCATCTCAAAGCCAGAAACCAACGTAGCCGTATCGACCAAGAACCTAGCCTCCCACCCCATCCACCACAAACCTTCCGAACACCCACCTTAAACCCACCCTCAAATGGGTCGAAATGGGTGTGTATGGGTGTGTCCTTCCTTTAGGGACCCCAAATGGGTGGGGGTTCCTTTCGGTTTCCACTGGAGCCACAAAGAGGTAGGGATACCCAAAAAAAGACATTTAAACTCGCGTTCGGATTCGGATTCAGGTCCCGGACACGGACGACGGCCCCGAGGCAATAATCTCGGTGGTGTCCCCCAGCGCAGTGACACCCGCCCTGATCATGGACATCGATAAGGCGAGGGGTGTGGGTCTGCCTCAGCCAAAAACAACTGGCAGCTGCAATCCTTCGTCCCCGTTTTTACTCCGGCAGCCTTTGAAGCTTCTGTTCAACCAATTGAACGAGTGCTGCCGTTCAGTACCTATTGAACACAACGCCGTCCCAGGGGTACGTTCAATAGCGAGGCTTAGCTCCACACCCAAATACTTTTGCCCCTCCATTTGTTTGTGTCATTCATTCATTCATTCATTCATTCATTCATTCATTCATTCATTCATTCATTCATTCATTCATTCATTCATTCATTCATTCATTCATTCATTCATTCATTCATTCATTCATTCATTCATTCATTCATTCATTCATTCATTCATTCATTCATTCATTCATTCATTCATTCATTCATTCATTCATTCATTTATTGTTATTTGTTTTGTGCCGGGGGGGCGGGAGGGGCGGTACGTTTGAAATCAACCAACAACACAATCAGTCGCCTTTCTTCCTCATGGCCACGAGTCTGGGGTCAACAGGGGTGTGGGTCTGTCTCAAAGAGGTTGCTCCCCGCATGGGTAGTTTTGCCTTGGAATTGCTGGAAAACAAGCCGCCCTGTAAGGAGCCGTGCTCAAGGGTTGGTGTGGATCACTTATGTTTTATGAGTTGGTGGCCTTATTCAATCGTTTCGAAGGGAAGCCAAGGTGCGTGGCGGATTGAAGGGGGGGCCCGAAATGTGAACGCCCCTCCTTGGAATGGGACGCCCTGTAATAGTCATCCAGGGGAAGAGTTTTCCAAGATTCCCATTGTCGTCCGTGGAGGTATGGGTGTTTTTGTGGTGTTTGGGACCTGTTGTTTAGAGTTGGCACCCTTTTCGGGAAGCCAAGGGGTTTGTCTGGGGCCCACCCGGCATCTTGGGTGGGGGAAGGTGAGAACAAGAGGTTGCTTGTCTTGGCGCGGTCACCTATGTCAAGTACCCAAGAGATTGCCAAGGTGTTTGTACGTTTGCGTGTGTGCAGTTCTTTATTTGCCGCTTGGTTTGTTTTGAACGAAGCACACAGTCGTTTGACCCAAAAGTGTACGAAGCAGCTTGTGGAGTGGCAATTGGATATGTGCAGAGCCACATTGATAGGTTGACGGCCCGGATATCAACGGTTGACGTTCGGGATATGTATGTGCTTGTTGGGGGAGCGACTGCGATCCACACTTGGTATTCGGGAAGTTGCAAGTTCAGCAATTGATCAAACCAAACCAGAGTGAAGCCCTCGCCTCCTTTTGCGTCCCTCGAGGTGCTGTACGGGCACGGCTGCGTGGTCCTGGAGATCGAGCACCGCAGTGACAACATGAAGGAAGGGCAGCTCGATCTCAGCAAAGCAGCCATAATACAAGGTGCTAAATAGTTACTCGTAGACTACTCTTGCAAGCATCACTCAATTTGGTTTTAAAGGTTGAAGCGCCACCCTGGCAAGAAAGCGTTTTACAACCACACCCCTTTCAGTCCCCATTTAAAAGGAAAGCACCAAAGGGAGGTTGTTTGAACCAAAGTGGGTCAAGCTTTGAAACATGAGGTGGTTGGCCCTACCCTGAATAAGGGACTCAATCCCCCCATCCCGTGAGTCATGGGTGTCTTCCTAAAATGGTGGGTTTCCTTTGGGTTTCCCTTGAAATGCCAACCAAAAGGAGTCCAAACTCCATTTTGAAAAACCCAATGGATGCACTACACCGCTTTTGTCTCAGATTAGTTTCCTTTTGGAGTGTTGCTTCAGGGATCGGTTACGTCGCTCTGCCTTCGGGAACCCAGAAATTGGGGGGCAAATTCCTGTTGGTTTCCGTTTGAAGCAACCTCAAAGGGACCCCAGCTCAAACATCATCGCAAGAGGTGGTTTGGTTCTAATCATTGTTACAACATGGCCTTGCAGTAAAGGCCTGCATACCCGACAACCCTTGCAGGCCCAAAGGTGTAGTTTCATTTAATAGTACCTCATATCCCCATCTATTTGGGGTCTTATCATTTAGGCCCTTGCAGTTGCCTGCCTGCGAGGAGCACAATGGGGACTACAACAAGGTTCAGATTCGCGCGCGCTGCCCCTCCGGCCTCAGGCGAAACCGTTTGCAAGCTATGTCTACTGGTGCCCTTGCAGGTAATGGGAATCCCGAATTTAAGTAATACCCGTCCTACTAATAGGGGAGTGTCACCCGGTTCCCACTAAAAAGGGACACCCCCTATTCATCCAGGATTAGAGTTACAGCCCAACCGCTGGACAAAGGATGTAGCCAGTTTCACCCTTTGGCAGCTTTCTTGTTCCCAAGCAGGTATATGAGACATGTGGAGCTAGCGACACTCAGTCTTACATCACATGAGCGGTCATTGTGACCTGTCAGGTTTCTCTATGGCCCGCAGCCCTGAAGAAGCAAACCGCAGTCAACGTAGCTACAAGAGACTGGCAGCCCATGGCAATCCTGAGTCTTGCATTGAAAAAACCGAGACACTGAGTTTCTTAGGCCAGACCTTTTTCGGCAACGGACCCCTTCCGGCCACATAAGAAACCGCGACATATGTTCTTGGAGGGGACCTTTTTCGGCAACGGTGGCTTTGCCCAATTAAGAAACTGTGAGTTTTACTTAGTTCAGAGTTCGGCAAAGGCCCGAGATCCCTCTTAGCTTTGGCTTTGTGAGTTGGTCGACAAGGATGGCGTGGCTATGATTCCCACAGCAGAGGGTCCAAAGCTCGCTCAAGCAAAACGCTTGCTGCTGACTGAAAAGCTGCGCTGGCTTTCGGGAGAAGCAACTTTGTTTTGACGGTCAGTCACGCTGACTTTCTCAGCCATCGTCGTTGGGGAGGGGTTGGTCCGGCTTTGTCGCAGAGACTATTCCAGGCTAAGGCCGGGATGCGATCCTTGCTCCCATGTGGTTCCGGCCCGTCGGCTTTGGACCTTTGCACCCTGTGAGGCTCGCCTCGCTGGTTCTGGGCCCGCCAGAGGGCAAAGTGGAGGGCCTCCAGAAGGCCTTCCAGAAGACCCGAAATGAGTTGATGCCTTATTTTGGTTTCTGAGGAAGTCCCATCTCACAACTTGGGATTGGGGGTACTCCCTTTTGAGGTGACTGGTTTGCAAGAACGAGGGTGGTTCCGAGCCTCTAGAAGATGACGAATCCTCAAAGGTAGAAAATGGGTTTGGTTTCCCTTTCGGTCCGAATATAATATATGTGCAGATTGGTTTCCTTTGAGTGTCTTTTCGATGTCTGCCCGAAGTCAACCTTTTGATCCTGGGTTTTCTCGCTGGGGCAGTGAGTTTTAATAGCGGCCCTGGTGGACATGAATCCCCACGTCAAAAACAATGCCACAGGGTCCCGTATAAAACAATATGCCCGTGTGGGTCTCTACTTTCGCCAGGCCCCCAAAAGTCTAGCCCATCGCCGATGCTGGTAACCGACGGCAGGGCTTTACGCAGTGGGCAGCCTTTGGCTTCCCGAAATAAACATCGGGATATGGCAATGAATGTTAACAGGGACCACCCTGAAGAATGTTTGGTGGACATGTAAATTTAAATCATGTGTACCAAAGCGTCCAGGACGCATGGAATTTCCACATCTGAAGAGCTTTTAGAGCCCTCCGCCGTCGAAGTGGGAGGGGGCGCAACGCGATTGAGAGGTTTACTGGCCCGGCAGCCAGCTAAATGGTAGACGCCCCAGATGTTTCAAGGGGCCAAGGACGTTTCTTGACCAGAGTTACTATGATTGAAACCTGTGAACCAAACAGATTGCAATGACCCAAGTTCCGAGTGCCCTATGCTGACTGAACTGGTTTCCCACTTCATGCGGTGGGGCAAGTTCTGACAGGGGAAAAAAACGGGCCCTGGATTGAATTATGATGCACCAATTCAGATGCGGATGTCCTAACCCGTTTTTTGGATGCTGAAAAAAGAGACAAGCTGAGCTTGGAGTAAAGCTCCTACATGGCTCACTGGTTTCATTGAGTTGTTAGATGGTGGATTAAAGCGGTTTCCACCCCTTCAGAATGTCCAGTCGCTTTAAGGGACCAATTCAGCTACCATCATGGTAAGGGAACTCACCCCTGCCTCAGCTTTAACAATGATTGTCACCTACTAAGTGCTTGACATACAACCACTTTAACAGGATGCTGTATATATTTTTCCTTTTGGTGGTTTTTAATATAGCATGTGTGGCCCAAAAGTAAGTTTCCTTGTGGGGTGATGGTTTAATGGGGAATTAAGTTCGGAGCTTTGAGGGATCCAGCTTCCCCACTGAAGCGCCCCAATCCTCCGTGCAGGTGGGCTGGGAGCATGGCGCAGAAGTGACCGCTCGATGGTGGGATGCCATGAACAGGCAGGGAGCTTTCGCTGCTGGCAGACACCAAAACGGGCCTAAATAAGACAGGGCGTGTGGGGTGCTTTATCAAGGAAACAAGCACCTTGTCATGATTGTAGGAGTAGTTACACTTCTTGCGACTTGTCTAGCCACTTAAATGGACTGGGTTTGTGACAGAGAAGAGAGAGAAGAGAGAGAAGAGAGAGAAGAGAGAGAAGAGAGAGAAGAGAGAGAAGAGAGAGAAGAGAGAGAAGAGAGAGAAGAGAGAGAAGAGAGAGAAGAGAGAGAAGAGAGAGAAGAGAGAGAGCGAGAGCCAACTATGTTTGGGGCTCTCTATTTGACTCATACGCTAGTGAGAAGAAGAAAGTAAGTTCTAAACAGTAAATGGCAACCTGTAGCGACGCAACGGGGCAAACGGCCTGACATGCTGAAGGTTCCTTTCTCGAAAGTCCCGTGTTTCAGGTTATTGCAGTATTTGTGCACCCAGATCAGATCCGATGCTTTCTTGGGCACCTGGCATGGGATGCGCACCAGAGCACCACGGGGTTCTTCCTGGCATACTCAGGCGGCCAATCAGGCGTTTGCAGTCAATCATTGCCTAGGTTTTTTACTTGTGACAACAATAATTGCTAAGTGAAACATGTTCTGGGTCTTGGGGATGGGACCGCATGTTGTCCGGTTTCCGGCTTTGGTGCCGGGTCTTGCAAGGCCTAACGGCAAGTCCTTGATGGTCTTCGGGCTCTCGCACGTGCTTTGTGCCCTGGCTTGCGGATCGGGTGTCGCGTTCTGATTGATGGCTCCTGATCTCTGAAGCTTGATTCTTCAGTCTTTTTACAATCGTGCTTCTGAGAACCACTAGCATTCCCTGGGTGTTGCCACATTTTCTGAAAAGAAGGATCTCTGACAAAGATGAGAAACGTCAGGGAGGCATGTCCTCCAAACTGGCTGGTCTTGCTTAAACACAAGAACAAATGGTACGATGCACTAAGCACAACTGTTTGGGTGGGTTGCCAAAGCTTCAGAACCTTCATAGCAGTACTGTCTTATCCAATTGCGGCAGAACAATACACACCACGTCCTGCCCTATCCGGGAATCCGGACTTAGACCCCTGCAACAAATAATTGTCAAGTCTTGGCTCGCTTGTGGGACGTTCAACTCGGCTCAGTTTGGCTGGCAGACCTTGACCACTGCCCACTTTTTGCTGGGCACACGGGAAACCAACAGGAGGATTGTTGTCGTGGTCCCCAAATGTTCCGACAAACCGAAGGGGTCAAACCATGCACCAGTCAATTATCGGTCTCAATACAACTCCGACTGCGTTTGAGGGATGACGCTTGCATTTGTATTTGGATCATTCAAGTCCTGCTCACCTCTGCAAAATAAGGATCCTAGCAAGAGGCCAGTGGGCAGATCCTACAATGTGTCCCAGTCTTCCCCACACAAGAGGGGGATTTGTATTCATGAATGAAATCCAGGGGGAGCAGGCCCCTCCCCCAATTTATTTCTTGAAGGTGATGGGACAAATTGGAAATAAAGGGCTGTTGCCTTTTGCTGCAAACGGTCCGCGTTGGACAAGTGAGCCCGCTAAATGGTTGGTGGATCACAAACCACACGACCGGAAAGGCCAGTCGCAGCAAGCAGCCGAGCGCAAGCGAAGGTCAAGAGGACTCTCATTCATATTGCCGTTTTATTTGTAAACAAGAATAATTCACATTTGGTCCACTACCAAGGCCAACTTCAAAGGACCAGTCTGCATCCCAGCTTCGGTTGGCGGACCTGTATGTGTTCCTTCCAAGACTTCATCATGTCAGACCCATCCGACCCCCAAACAAAAGTAGATACACGAGATAAACAAGGCAGCCAAAAGACAGTTCTGCATCAAAGGCATGTCTTCAAGGGTGTTCCCTACACAACCAATAACACAGACTGCTTTATCAATTGCAACCGGTCCTTGTTGTTTCCTGCTTGGTGTCCCTTCAAGACCACCCAAATCTTGGTGTATTTGTACCCCTTTCATAGTATACCAATTAGAAAGAAGTGAACCAAGGCACCGAACGGTGTTTTGATAACGTGTTAGATAATCCATAGTTTGTAATTCACCCAAAGGTAAACCAGGCAAGTTGTTGTCAGACCTCGTTTAGCATGCCCACTCGATCAAAGCCATTCAAAGCTTTTTGGGTTGATGTTTTTTGAGGTACCCATTCGGTTTTCTTAAGTCAGTTTGGGAAAAAGGAAAAACACAAATTTGACGAGCCATTGTTTCGCAGGCCCAGAGGATGTCCTGGATTTGGTGCTCAAAGAGGCCGGCATCGACCCCAGCCAGGTCTCAGTCTCCGACTCAGGCAGGGCCCCGTCGGGCGCATTGTGTTCCGCCAAGTATGAGGGCAGCTTCCGAGAACCCAGTTGACCCCACGGTGGAATCTTCCAAAACGACGCCTCGCTGCCGATCTTTGATTCAAGCAAGCAGCCGATGGTGCCCTTGCAATGGGAACTAAAATGAACATGCTAAGATATACAAAGCGTAAATAAACATGTTTGAACTCTGTCGGCTCAACCTCGTCAACTTCCAACTGTCAAATGCCCTGTCAAAATATTGTGGGACCCTTTTTGGGATGGTTTTGAAAGGAGGTCAAAGAGAAGCCAACCATTTCAGTTATGCCTTGAAGCTCTTTTGAAACTGGCGTTTTGTTTCAAAGCCGGTGAGAAGCGCCCAAACCTAAACAGGGCTTATTGATGGGACGCCAATCGCTGGAGAACGGAGCCATCTCTTGGGACCATGCCACAGACATTGGCAGCTGCCATGAGTTTGTTGAGGGGAGCTATGGATACTTATATTACTTATTATCGGCTTGTCTTTAAAGGCTTGACTTGGGTGTGTCTTAAATAAGGGGGTCCTAAAGTTTGCGGTTGTTTTAGAGGGAAGCCACAAAGGAACACTTAGAAGACACCGCGCCCCAAAGAGGCCCATGACTCAACTTGGCCAGGAAACGTAGCGGAAGAGAAGTTGGCGCTGCTGAGAGGCGGGGACATTGATGTTGCCGGACCCGAGCCAAAAGGACGGATGACTTCCCAAGTTTGCATATGTGAGGGTCCCAAAAGGTGATCACATTTGGGGCAAGTGAGAAGGTGTTGAAGTACCATTCGAAATATGACCCTTACACCAGGTTGAAAGTAGATGGCGCAATTCCCGCTAGATGTGGGTAACAAAACACGAAGTTTCTCAAAATAATAATAATCAAAAGTTGCCACGGCATCTTGGGGCGAAAAGCCTTCAGCGGCTCTTGGGTTTGTCATCTTGAAGGGAACACATTGTATTCTTTTGAAAGGAAAACTGGAGGAACACGGGGCCCTTGCGGGCTGGGCATTTCTGTACAGGGAAATCAAAGGACACCTTCTGGGCCAAAGACAAAGTAACAAGCCCCAAGGTTACTCTGGGTTTTGGGTCTTGACGGGGGCTTTTTGGCGCTTTCCCACTGGGGCTTTCCCTTCGAAACCCGTATCACCTGCCCTTCGGCAAAAGTCGGACTTTTCTCGGCTCAACCTCTGGGGCGCCAGGGCACAGCACCTCCTTGCTGAAGAAGGTGATGGAGCACCTGCCCTTCACTCCCGGGGCCAAGGCGAGAAGTCGGGGATGTGTAGAGTGGCCCGCATTCTTTAGAGTTGTCCTTACTTGCCTTTGAAATCGCTCGAAAAGATGCACCGTGAGGGTGTTGAACTGTGCAGCGAAGTGTCATACCATCACAGAACGGCTTGACACTCGTTGCGGCGGACCAACTGGCTTTGGCACGTCCTTGGCTTTTCCACCCATCCCGTGCACTGCCACGTGTCCGGTCTGGCACTTTTTGGGTGTCCTTTTGGCAAGCTACAAACTGATCGTCCAATGGGGCATCATCCAAGGTTGATGCATGAAGTTTTCAAATATGTTTCTTGGTGTACCCCCGAGAACCAAGGCCGGCCTTTTCGTCGCAGGTGGTGTGCTCTGCCATGAAGCGCCTGGGCTGTCGCCTCGCGATCCTCACAAACACAGGCGCACCTTTCTCGCCGGAGCTTCCGTCGCAGTTGTTTTCCCGTTTGGGCACATCATCCACCGGGTTTAAGTCTGCCTTGGGGTCATTGTGGTTGGGGCCCCAAAAAGGGGCCCAGAACGGATTCCGACCAGCGGCAAAGCCGCATGGCTGACATTGGGCAGCAAAAAGCAAAGTTTCTTTCCGATGGTGTTGCAAACAACAACTTCCTATCATAAAAGATGGCTTGACGATAACTACAAGTTATTTGCAAACCGCAAAGAATGGCTGTTCCGGGGCCTCCAGGCAGGTCGTGCTTTAAAATTTGGCCCAGAATGGCGCTTGTAGCGGTTTGATTCAGCTAGCACACTGCTTCATTCTGGGCAACGTTTTTCTTCAGCCTTAAACTGCCCTTTTCAACTTTTGGCTTGTTTGGCTTTCCTTAATTTCCCAAGAAGCTTCGGCAAAACATAAAGCTTTCCGGATTCCCAGACACTTAGCCCAGACATTTGACCTTTCCCCTTTCAACCAGCAGAAGCACAGCACTGCTTGCTTGTACCCATGACTTCTTGCTGCTTCGAGGAAGATGTGCCTCCAGGGAGCGAGACAGCCTCGACCAACTGAGCAAGGAAACATAACAAAACAGCAAGGGTGTGTCTCAAAATAGCGCACCCCTCCAAACAGGTGGTTTCATTTGGTTTCCATTTCAACGCAACACCAAAAAGTGTGCCCTCAAAAAAGGACAGTCACAAGAGAATTTGTTTTCCGAGGAATACCTACAGAAACCCGAACGGAAGTCACAAGAGGCCGGGTTTTTCCGCCACACGCCGATGGAAATCCGAAGGGAAACCACAAGGTGTTTGTCGCGTGTGTAAGAGTCCCTCTTTGAAGGTCAGCTGAATGCCCAGGACAGATCGCCGCGGTTTGAGGGCTTCCGTTGTGGGGGCTGCTCAAAACAAGGGTTTCCCTTTATGGTGTTGGAGGGCGACCAAAAGGCCAAACACCTGGGGTCCCTAATTCGGAGAAACACCTTTGTCAGGCATGCGCGAGATTGCTGAGTACTTCAAGCAGCAGCTGGGTGTTGACTACGTGCAGCACGGCTGAAGTTCTGGCTCTCTTGGGTAGTTTGCAGGGTTCGCGTGTTTGACCCCAAGATGGACTTACATCCAGGAAGTTCTTTTGTGGGCAACCACCCCTGGGTTTAGGTCTACTTTGGGGTTGTCAGAAAATGAAGCCATGTTTATGGAACCCTGTTTGTCGAAGTGTTGTTTCCTCGGAATATATATATATATATACATATATATATATATATAAACATGCACCCAGTTGCCCTGGGGGGGGGAGGGTTCCCCTGCAAACTCAACCAACCAAAAAAGGATGCCCCTTTTCTTCATGGCCACTGGGCATCTGAGTATACCTTTGAAGCCTTCGAAGATATACCTTTGGGCAGCTGCAAGTATCTCGCTGCATGGCCATTCCTTCATTCAACAAGTACACGAGTCTAGCTGTTCAAACCCTTGCCCATTGCCCGTGGTCGACTGGCTCTGAGGCTCACACTTCTGTCAAAGAGGATAGAGAATATCCTTGTCCAGTGTGGCCTTTCTCGAAGCTTGGTGATCGGCCTAGAGCGTGTTGAATGATACACGCGTCCAATGCGTTATGAGTGTTTCAGCCGCCACTGTTGACTGTTGCATGGGCATTGCACGTTGAAAAGCCTTACTGTCGGAGACGCACTGCTGACAGGCAGACCAGGCTTAGAAGTGACAAGTATCATGAAGTGCTTTTGGTGTGTGTGTGTGTGACTATATAATGACTGGTACCTACAACGCACAGCAGACAGTCAATGGCTGATGTGGTTTCCGCGTGCCAGCTTGACAATCGACTGTATTTGCTGAATTTTCCGGCAGAAGTATGATGGCTTCGTTCCCGTCCATGAATCTTCCTGCTTGTTGGCTATAGCATGATATCTAATAATGGAACCCCCGGAAGAGTGGTTGATGGATACGACAATGACGCCCGCCAAAAGGGTCCAACTCAGATTTTGCACCAATTGAGAATTGAGTGAAGCATTGCCCCTTTCCCAGGATCTGCCGCGACGTGGAAGAAAAGGATGGCTGCTTCACCGGGAGGCCATGGGACCGGTGGAAGATTAATGTTCATGTCTACTGAGGACAAAAGAAACGGACAACCAGGGTGTTTGTGGTGGGTCAGCCCTACAGGTCAGTTTTGGGTAGTCCCCTATCGGTTTCTCATGTCGAGTGTGCGTGTTTTGTTACAATACCCCTGGCCTTTGGCCATGCACCTAAAGCTGAGTTGCTCGGGTTGAGAAATCCTTGGGAAGCCTCGGAAACCCGGTAGGCTACCGCAAATCTTCGTCCCAGGATGGTGCGGCATTGCGTGGTTCCTAAAGTCGGGAGGCTTTCTTTTGATAGTTTGCTTAAGCAACGCGAAGCCCTGCATTTTTGAGGGAAGCACACCACTTATAAGGTAGCCCACAATTGTCAAGCTAAAGCCCATCATTTTTTGTGGGCGCTCCCATTTTGTTGGCCATGCCGGGTGAACCCCCTTCCCTGTTCGTTATGTTGCTGCCAGTTTGCTGGCGAGGATCAGCCTTACCAGTGGAACGAAGCAAGGAGTGCCACTTTCAGTATCACTAAAACGTGTGTTGTCAGTTTTCAGAATGAGGGACCCCTGCAGCTGTTTTGGCTGATCGCCCTTTAGAACCATGCAACCAGGGGTACCCTGTATCAACCTTGAGATGTCAAAATTTGTATTGTGGCCCGCTGGCTGAGCAGGAATCCCAGCAAATTCCGCTGTCTCCAGCCGCGGCCCGTATTTGTGCCTGTGCTTACTGCCTTCTTTGTTCTGGCTTCTTTCACGCCACTCTAAGGCAGGATGTTGGTGTTCGATTGAGTCTGAGTCGAACGACTCATGCATGTTGTGCAGATTGAAGCCGCGCTGACCCCCGTTAAGCCAAGTAGTAGAACCTACTAAAAGGGACTACCTACTAGTGCCTGCCGTAGTTGATGCCGCGCTATTTGGGGGGAGGAGTGCTTCTGTTGGTATTTGCGTGGCTCCAGACAAAGTTGCATGGTTCAAACCTAGATACAGACATATATACAAAGCTATAGGTGTTTTTACTGGCAAGTGGTTCATTGCTTTACCAGACACTGACCTTGAACAACATGTAACGCCATTCTTTTAACAACCGCCTTTGTTTCTCGGCGTCAAAGCAAATTTCGCCCAACCCTGGTTCAGAGTTCCCTATATTCCCTCTTTTGGCTCTAATGATTGCCTTTTGGGCCATGCTGAAGTGAGTTTCCTTTTGGTGGAGTGATCCAAAGCGGAAATATGGGTTGGTTTCAGGGGAATCCAAAAGGAACACCCCCAATTTTGAAGGTTCCCCCATTTCAACGGCACATTTTGGGAGCCCTGACCTTTCCGTATACAACGAGCTCCAGGTACACCGGGGAGCTCCAGGACGTGAAGTTCCGCAAGGCAGACCTGCTGAAGCTCATGGCCGACCGCGAAGGCGGCTCAGCATGGTTCCTTTGGTTCGGCGAAGCGCTGATTGTCAGGTCCTCTAAAAAACCAAATGGTACCCCATGAAGCTTGGGAAATGCGCACTGGAGCGTAAAGGACATGGCGCAATGCGCTTCTTTGGGGTGCCATCATACTGACAGAACGGGAATGGTGCCATCTGATTTCACCCTGGCATAAAACATATTGGCTATATGAGCTGCGCCCAAAGCCCGCTTTGCCGATTTAGGTAAACTGTCCTACGTGGTTTCGTGGGGCGTTAAAGCAAGGCCTGTATAAACCTTTATAACCATGTGGGTAGAATCCATCGTCTACGAGTCTTGCGCACTCGGTGTTCAAAGGGGTTTGTGTAGCCTTGTCTCCAAAAAGGTAAGGCCCCCTTTGGGGCTAGTGAAAGCTCTTTCAGACTTTGATTTCAGGATTCTGTGTATCACACACTGGGAGAAGTTGCCCACTTGATGGGATTCCCCCTGTTCTGGTTGCGGTTTCCACATTGCGCCTTATTTTATTTGGGGGCATGCTGTTTGGGTTGATATTGTCTTGGCTTAGCACTACGTAATTATTTGGCATCCTGTGGTTGATTGGCTGCCAGGTGGGGTGGTTTTGGTTGGTTTGGTTTTGGTTGGTTTCATTTAGTTTCGCTCGCTGGTTGATTGGTTGGTTGGCTTGCTCCTTTGCTTATTGTGAAGTTGTGACTTTGTTTCCCCGCTGTGTGTAAATCAATTCAGGGATCATGTGGTTTTAGATGGCAGATGTTTCAACTGTTTTGCTGGTAAAATTAACGGCCTTTTAACAAACTCAATTGTCCAAACCCCCCCCCCATTTTCTGGCCTTTTGGCATTACCATATTTAGTCAGTTTAGCCAGGTCCTGCAGGAGTCACCAGGCAACTTTGCCAACCTCAGGGACGTCCAAAGACCTCCCCCAGCCAGTGCAGTTGAGTGGGTCTCAAGGATGAGCCCTCCAGGTGGTTAGTAACCATGGAAGAACGGGGACTATGGACCTATCGTGAGACAAACTTATTTGGCCGTATTTGACCTCAAGGTTTAGCCCATGCGCAGGCATCGACTGCCGCAACGTCATTACCGTGGGTGAGCCGCTGAAGGGGCTCAAGGCTGGGGGAATTTGCGAGGCCCATGGCCTTGCGACCTCTTCAGGGTTCTCGACCTGTCTGCTCTTTGGTGTGATCTCTAGCCTCTACTCTGACCAACATGGAACCCAAAAAAGGGTGCTCAAGAGGAGACTCCGCTAAAAAGCACTTTTTTTGTGAATCCATGTTAATCTGCAGGAGTGTAACTTGCTGGGAACATGTGTAGAATCCCACTAACAAAAGTCAACACTTGTTGCACTGCGGGCAATAGCCGAAGAGTTATGTTCAAGTCTCGTGCGTTCAACGCCCAGCTGTTTTCACTGTTTTGTTTGGTGGTGCTGTGAAAAGATGCATCCCTGGAAAGAATGGGCACTTAAAGCGAGATTTGGATAGCACCATGGCCAAATACCTACTGTCGATGGACGAAATCCTGCACCACCTGAGAAACCCTGGAATGATCCACCCACAGTATCAGTTCGAGAAGCTCACATGTTCAGAGACTTGTAAATGCGCTAGTTGCCACAAGTTGGTTCTTTGTCAACCTGTTCATTCCAAGAGGATGCATCAAGCTGTTTGTCCTGCTGCCTGGAATGATGTGGTGTGTGTTGGTGCGCCTTTGTTTGTGTGTTCTACGCCTGGATCTTCGCTGTGCTTGTTTCTGCGTGTGAGTGTGGGTGTGGGTGGGTGTGTGTTTTTTTTTGCGTGTGTGTGTGTTTGCAGCGCCAGCATGTGTGTTTGTGTGTGTGTGTGCATGTGTCAGTGTGTGCTTACGTTGCGTGTCCAGCAAGCAAGGGCCGTTGGTACCTTTGTTGGCTGTCAGCAGGTTGATGATTACACTCCTTAGCCCTTCACCCTGTGTTTATTTTCTTTTCTTTTTTTTGTTTGATTATTTGTCTTATCCGGCGGAACACTGGCGCACCTTTTTTGATTGCCAGGCTGCCAATGCACGGCTGATGCTGGAGTGCTTCGGGCCCAACGTCTATTTCAACTCCACCAAGTAACTTGTCGGCTTTGGGTGGCTCTCTAGAAGATTCAACATGGACCCAGGTCTGCCATGTTTGAAGTGGAAATATCATGCCCCCTGTGTAGTGAACCTCTTTCCTATTTCTTTGTGGGCAGCGTCCAACTGCTTCAGGCACCATGTCTCTGAGTTTCACTAGTACCAGTTGAATAACCCAGATTGTGTCACACTCATATTAGGGGTTGCCCACCAAATAAGATCAAGGGACATAAGCATGAAGAGAGTAACCCTACATCCTCATAGAACCCCGACTTGTTATTGGCTAATTACTCATTGACTATGGCCCATGAATGTCACGATGGACTAAAGTGGTTGGCGGACGTGAAGCCTCACCTCAATGATGTCCGCCAAAGGGTCCCCTGTTAAGAAAATCGGGCCCATAGTCAGATATTGCTCAAGTATGGGAACCCATGGGTGTATGATCCCAATGACCGCGGGCACAACCTCTACAAAAGCCTGTTAACAACTATGCAATCCAATTAGATTACTAAGCATTGAGTTTGTTCATCTGAAATTGAGCTTAAGGCCGTGTTTTGTGCTCCTCTTGCTAGTGGCCTTCTATTCACGGGATGGCCGCATTTCGCCTAATACCCCCGTCAGGCTCCAGGACCTTGTAACCTCTTGTAACTGATCAAACCTAAACCCTATAAAACCAGTGTAGTTATACAACCAAATACCTTTTGCAAATCAGGCCCCTGATAAACCTAGCAATGTAACAACCCATGGCCTACAACCGCAGAAACCAGAGCATACTCAACAGGCGCAAACAATTGCAGGGGGGGGGTGGGGACGTTAAAGCTACATTGGGTCATAATCATAAGCTAGTGATGCTAATGCGTGTAATTAGTCTTTACCCGCAAAGGTTTCTTCGAGTACCTCACACTGCACTTTAGATGCTCCAACTGTGGATTCACCCAATTGTCGCACTCTTTCAGCACTCGTTTAGCACGTGTCAAGAGGGAATCCACGGGAGCATCAAACATACACCCTAGGGTACCCGGGTTTCAGGTGACATGACAAAACTTACAACCCCTATTTTTGCTCCGGTAGCCTATAAACCTGAGGTTACACACCTGTAAAACCTCGTTTGCAGGCTCCAGGACCTACAACGTTGGTTGAGGTTCCTGAATGTATCTAACCAAAATGGTTCCCAGTGTAGGTTTTGACCAAAGGTTCCTTTCGGGGCTACCCCACCCAAGTGCAAAGCCTTGAGGACCTAATAGCAAGACAATAACGGAAAATCCAGTGACCCCTGCCAAAGGCTTGATAGGGTATCCCGAATTCAGGGTACTGGACCTACCCCTAATCCTCCAGCATAAACCGACTGAGGTTTTACATAAAGGCCAACTGGTACTGGCTTGTGTCCACCGTACCCCCGACGGCAAAGGCTGCAGGGCCTGGTACCCTACACAACTTCTGAAACCTAAGCCCCAAAAATCCAGGTAGACCCCGCAAAGCCGGGTGCCAGAAGGCCCAAGTGTCAAACGCCAAGGACCTAACAATCCATAGCAACTGTCGTTTGGTCACCCGATAGATACTGGGACGGACCGCCTACCAACTGGTAGAGGATGCGCATCCAATGACCAACTGGTGCTGGATTCTGTCCATCCACACATCCACAACCCCCATTGCAAAGGCAACATGTCAAGCCTAGGGACCCCTGCCAAAGTTTGAAGCTGGGGGCCCCCATTGACCTACTGAACAGAGTGCCCAGCAAAATTTGGGAAAGTGGCTCCCGTCATTGGAGATCTTCCCTTTTTGTGGGTTTGGAGATGAAGGTCGCATGGCAAAGGCTCCAGGACCTACCTCTAATCCAATCATTTTACTGAACGGGGTCGGGTTTCAGGCTGCAGGACCTGACCATCGTCCTCTACCTGCTGGGCTTCAGCGGCTCGGACGTGCGCGCGCTGCGGAAGCGGCGCTGGGACGACGGCCCCGGGGCCTTGGAGCCCAGCGGGTCCTCGGTGCCCAGCTCGCCACCCTCCAAGCGCTTCATGGTGCAGGCCGGGCCCGGCAAATATCTTTTCGTTCGCGCGTACCATGTGGTCCCCGGATGTTTTCTTTGTTTAATCCAATTCCTGGCTGAATTGGTTCATGAATAGGGGCGTGTCCACTTTGATTGGGAACTTTGCATGCAGCCCTTGGTTTTCCAGGCCGAGCCGAAAACGAAACCAGCCCTCCCCATTTCCCAGAGGAAACTGAAAGGCCAAAGTCACAAACCCCACAAGTGGGAATGTTCAGGGGAAGCCCGGTAGAAAACGGTGATTCTCAAAAGGGCCTCTTTTTCGCATGGTGCAAGTGGCAAGCAAAAGGAACCAGCCACCTGAAGAGGTCCCTGATTTTGAGAAGCACACATATTGTGGTGGCAAACCAGGCCCCCCAAACCGAAAACAGGGCCAGATCCTAATTGCCGGCAAATGACATGGAACCGAACAAACGTGGACATGTGTTCCGAGGAATCGTTTGGGGGGTTCGTCCAACTTACGTTTTCGTAGAGTCATCACCTTTCGTGCCCATTCAAAGTGAGTTTCCTTTGAGTCTAAGGGGAAATGCGGGCCAGGTGGCTGTGTTGGTATTGCGAGTCTACAACTTAAAATCCGTGATCTATATTTGAATGATTGTTTTGAACATAATGTGAAACAAACTTCTCGGTTGCAATAAATTATCCGGGTGCCACGGTGACATTCACTTCCTCTAGGACTCTGGGGACGAATTATACATCTGTGCAGATCCCTTTTTAGATCCTCCAGGATGCGGCACAGGATGTCATATCTAGTTGTCTGAGCCACGGAGCTCGGACCGCATTCCAAACCAAGTTATTTGCCGCATGTTTCCCGCGTGTTCTTTGCATGTCCACCTAAATTGATGGGCTTTGGCTCGCAGTTCTTTTTCGCCTCACTTGGACCACGCAAAAATCCACCTTTAACCTCTCAATCGGAAGGGGACTCTTTGCAAAGGGCGACGCAACACATCCTTGGGCAGCTTACAAAAGTGGCCTTGCCTTTTTCTGCCATCCTTCCTGTTCCAAGTTTGTTCCTTGAAGGATCTCATTTGAGGCTTTCTGTCCAATTATAACATATTTATTCTCACTGTAGATATGTTTGTGATTCAAGGCCCTCCCAAGACACCCCAACCAGCACCAGCGGTTCAAACTGCTACCCAAATGCTCCAGTTTCGCCCCCAGTTGCGTTTTTCCACAGGGTGGTTGTTCTTGTTTTGGATGGTGTGTTTGGGGTCCCTTTTCCGTCAGAGTTGTGCTTTCTGGGGTGGCGTGTTTGGGGTCTCTTTTCTCCCAGCCACATTGGGGGTGTGAGAGGTGAGCGGGCTGAACCGCGTGGCGGGACAGTTGCAGTCCATCTTCACGCCCTTGGCTTCTTTGCGCAGCGATGTGCAGCTCACCACCATCCGCCAGTGCTCCTTGCAGGCGACTTGGAAGGGTCTGGAGTCTGCCTCCTGATACCACTTTGGTTTTGTAGGATTTTAGGGAACAATGATGCCACCCCTCAAAATTGAAAAGTGACATGGCTGGTTACCTAATGTGGTAACTGGGATCCACTTGGAGTACTATGAGAGAGCCCGAAGAATGAGAATGGGGGTGTGGGTTGTTTGAAGGCCAGTTTTAGTCCAGGAGTAAACTATGATTTAGCCCCTTGCTTTAAGTTTACTGGCGCTCACAGATCCAGGGGTCAAACCAGCGAGAACCCATGATGAGGCCCGGAGAAAAACTGGGTGTCCAATTCTTATAATATGGGTTTGTGTGTTTTGTTAGGGCACCCTCTTTTGGGGGTTGTTCAAAGGGAAAACAACAGAAAATAAACCACACATGTCGGGGGCTTCCCCTTTTTTGACACAACCCATACAGGATACCAATGTGTCTTGACCTCCATCAGAACCCCCGGTTCCATCTCTTCAGATTGGAGCTTGGAAGCTGACAGCAAAGCAACAGCCTCCTTCTATGGGAGATCAGCATGACTTCCATGAGAGAACCTTCAATGCGGAGATGATCTTCAATTGGGTGATATTGGGTGTGTAGTGTTTGAGGGGACGCCCAAAATGGTGGATGCTCCTGTTGGTTTGCTTTGAAAACCACTAAAAAGGTACCCTCAAAAAGACAGGCCCAATTGGTGGTTTGGATTGCCGGTTTAAGCTCCAAACCACCAATCCAAATCACCAATCAGAGAGAAACATAAGTTTCATTGGCGGGTGTTTGACGTTTATGTTTGAGCCCATCTATACACCAATGCAGACCCTTCAATCGAAGCCTGAAGAAATTAGTTGGAATGGTTACTTGGAGGTTAGCCAGGGCCTTCCCCTGAGTGGGGGCTGTGTCGCCATGATAAAAAGGCCAGTGACAATTGGACATACGGCACCATTTGCATGCTAGCGATCATTTCCAGCTTTACGACAGTCTAGTTGGACCCTGACCCCCTTTAAAAGGCCGGTCCCTTCAGTCGCAAGTTTGTTATGCTGTTAATAAGTTTTTGGTCAGCGATTATTTCAAATGGCCATGATTCTGGGTGATTTGAACGGTCGTGATCCTCAGTCTCTCCTTCTCGGTTGTTGTTTCCATGGTCTGTCTTCAGTGGTCATAGGGTTGATATGGGTGATGTCCTTGGTCATTTGGCAATTGTAGCTGCTTGTCGGTTGGGCCTTGACCCTTACACTTGTTTTGGCTTCCTAAATTGCACCTGAAAGGGACACATCTGCTGGGACCGTGTTTGTGTTATCCCACGTCCCCACGCAAAAACGAATCCTAACGTGTCCTTTTCCACGAGGCAAACGTCCATTGCAAGCCGGGGGGACCGCCGGTAGTGGAAACTCAGGGTCATTGTTTTTTGCAACTGCCTGCTAGGGTATTGTCCTATTTTTGTAGGGGTTTGAGTTAGCAAAATGTGTGTTTCTTGAATTGGGAGTCCCCTTGGATGATTTCGAAAAGCCCAGGTTTGGAGAAACCCCCCAGCATTCAACTCCAGGTGTCACCATCCATCCCGGTCGCAGGACGGCGGCATGTGCCTGGGACTGGACCTCACCGTGCTCAAGGCACTGAACTTGGCGGTGTGCGGTTTTGGCAGGGCTGGTGAGTGCTTTAACGGGACCGCAAGGAATGGAAACGATCAGTCGCCTACAGACTAAGGGAAGGAACCCAACCAACCATGGCAGGGGGAACTCCTTTCAAAGAGCGCCCTTTTAGGTTCCATGTCAATTTGTAGAGGAGTAGGTTCCCAACATACCCGGAAAGGGGCAGGGACCACAAACTTTGCATCTGGCGACGAACCAACGGCTCTTGGCTGGTTGGGAGGTTCCAGGCAAAATCGGAATGTCTTTGTGTAAGCGTGAAGCCGTGACCATCGTTGTATCGTGAGAAGAGCTAAGACTGCAGACTCGGTGTTATACTACCCACACGCAGGATGAAGGCTGGCAGGTATTTGCGGATAGCTTGTTATCAAGTACTCAGGGTTGCTTTTATATAGTTGTCCAGTGGTCAAGATACGGTACCCCTTCAAACAGAACAGGAACAAACCAAGACAAAATAAACACAATTGTTTGCAGAAGCTATACCCGGCTTCTGTCACGCGTGCAACACCTGCATGTGTTGTCGAAGGGACAGGAGGCATGGCTCACAGAAGATCACTATATATGTTGTTAGCAAGCAGCAGTGAGTTGCCGGCATGGGTGTTTGTCCAGGTGTCGCCATATTGCTATTGGATGTTGGGTTTGCAGGTGGCGGTTACAAGATACCGATTGCAAGCCGCTGGCGGGCTTGTCCAGAAGTGGCGACGTGTGCTTCCTTGAAAAGGGTCCCCAACGTCTCCTCATCGACATACGGGAGTTTCGCAAAATAAAATAGGGCACCCCGGAAATGGGTGGTTCCCCGTTCAAAGCCAGCCAAAAACGAGTACAATTAGGACACATCCATACCAACTTCGCTTCGGCAGGAAAAGCCGGACAGCGTAGTCAAGGATTTGGTCTACGCTTGCCAGAAGGAGCTGTGGGATTGTTGAGGGACCAGAACAGCTGGTCGGTGAACCTATCCTCAATCGGTTGGGGGCCCGCAATCCCAAATCCTCACAGTTGAAACTTGAAACTCTTCATTTGATGTTGCAGGATGAATGATATCAGGAACACCTTCCCAAGTGCCAACAATGCCAGCAACTGTAGGTAGCGCCAATCTGCCAAATGCCAGTGTTGCTTGGAAAAACCGACTATGACTATTTACTGTGGCTCGTATTCATTGCACTATCCTTGTTGTTTTTGGGTGAGAATACACCCGAAAGGGCGAGTTAGCAGCCTTGAACGCTGAGCAAACGGGGACAAAGACGTTGCCGCCTTGCATCCGAAACGTTTGCTTGCATATGAGTCCCGCAACAAACAAGATACTGATACACATGTCAGGGCAGCCGTACCATGCCAAATGAGCAGGCCTGATATCATGGTTGCGGCCGCATGCACCTTTCGCAGGAAGGCTTGACTATCATGGACGTGAACGACTCTGCCAAAGACTTCAACTGGCTCAGCCGCTATCACAACAGATATGCCACTTGGTCGCCTTGTGCTGGTGGAACCAGAATGCCGTTCAGATGTTTTTGGGGCATACCCCGGGAATACCCCTTTGTGTCCTCCGAACAGACCACCCTGCCATCGTGCTTGTTTGTATTTGTCAACAGCACATAGTGCCTCAGAAATGATGATTAGCGGCCCAAGAATGGTCGTTCTTGGGCACTGTGGCCTCACCAACTTGTTGTGTTGGGGTATTTGTTTCCTTGTAACGGCAAGACATTGGAAGAAGCGACAGAGCCGGATAGAGGGGTAGGCGACAGTCCCAACCATGAAATGGTTTGCGCGCTTTTGCCACTCTTTTAATTCTTCGGATGGTGTAGGGTAAAATTATTTGATAATGTGTTTCTTGAGAGAACAGATAGAAGCTGGCAATCGAAAAGCGCAAGCTGTAAATAATGGGACTTGGGCATCAATTTATATGGCACCTGGATGTTACACGATGTTGAGCAGAACAGAGCCGCCTACCGGGTGGCCTACCGGGTGGGGCGCATCTGCGGAAGAGCCAATGAGGCCCGGCCCCCCTCAGCATGACAAGGACGCGCAAATTGCCTTGGGTTTGATCGGTACCACCAAGTAGCCGAATTAAACCCCAATTGGTCATTCTTCCTTGGGAAGCCAAAGTGAAAGGGTATTCAGAAATTCAGACGGACAGCCCCTGGAGCATTTTTCTTTCTGGAGCAAATCCGATCTTTCGATGGCAGCTCCAGAGGCTGAAGGTCCCTGGGTCAATTGGGCTTCCAGTAGACGAACTAGGGAACAGAAATGAACAGAATTAGAAAAACATATGGACATATGGAACATCTTATAGACGAATACGGACATATGGACATCTGGTGTTTTTGTTTTTGTTTTCCCCGTGTACGATTGCCCCAATTATTCGAAGTTTCCTCAAAAGACCTCTTTGCTCCATGGCATGGCGGGAAGGGTAACACTGCTATTAAAGGCAGATCTGCGGTGAGCGCATGCTCGAGGCTCCGGCCTGGTGCTTAGCTAGGTGGTTCGGAATATTATATTTACAAAAAATTCTCATGGATTCATCGGGGGGTGACACGACGGAAAAGCTTGCCACACAACTAGCTCCTGGAGCATAGAAGTATGCTCTTTGGCCGCAAAAACAGACTCAATTCCCTATTGTTGTCTTGTTAAACGTGTGTTTTCAGTTTCGCATATCTTCCAAAAGAGGATCTTTTTTGGACACCCCCCAACAAGAACAAGGCTCTGGGCTCTCTGCTCTGGGATCTTTCGCCCTTCGCCTTTGGACTCGAGGTGATCACCCTGGTGCAGAAGCCCAACATCAGCAGCAGCTCCCTGAGCGAGGCACCAGACATGAACGTGGATGAACCACAAACGAAATGATGCAGGGGTTTGTCCAACGTAGGTGTCCTTTTGCTGGGATTTCTTTGGACATCATTGAACATTTTCAAGTTCACGCAACATGGACCAGAATCAATCGCGGCATTTTGGCTGCGGGCAAAAGCTGAGGTACTTTGCACGACTTTGGGCGGGGATAGGTTTCCTGGAATATGTCGGAGCCTCCAGAGCGTGTGTTCAAAAACAGCGCCCCACGGCTTGGATAATGAAGAAACCGCCGTAGGTGTCCTCGGTCATTTTGGTTGTTTTTTGGGATTTGCCTAGTTTCAGCTTGGATATCCCTTACAGGTGTCATCTGTCCGAAAGCACACCTAAGATGAAGGCGAGTGACCTTGCTTGGGGGGAGAGGTGTAATGTGGCAAGGGATCCAACCAGGTGAGCCTGTTTCCTTCAAACGGTTTCTGAAATAGGTGGGCCTTGCTAGAATTGGGGCGAGGGATGTTTCCGAGCATTGGCAAGTTCAAGGAATCGGCACTGTGAATGGCAGGCTCTACTTCTTGGTTCGTTGGGTGTTGCAGAGGTTTTTCGCGGGATTGGTGGTGGACGTTGGTTCGGATTGATCATTTGGATTGGTCTTGGCTGGGATTGGATATCAGCATGATCCCCCTGCAAGATTTGGCTGGCACATGCTAATGTGGAATGCAAGGATCTGCCAGCGAACAAGTTTGTGTAAGGGGTTCGCAGTGCCCCTCTGAAGAGGTGAGGTGTCGATTGGGCACAAGACACGAGGTGCCCAATTGCTACCGTTTCCACAACAGTCTAGCAATGATGGCACAGTTCCATCTTAAAACCAATTAAGTCATGTTGTAACATTTGTTCTGTTCAACAGCGGAAGGACCCAAACATGTGGCCCTTTTGATGCCCGGTTTTCGATTTCATGTGTGCTCGCCCTCAAGGGGAGGTCCGAAAAGGACGCCCAGGATCCGTGATTTTCACAGTTTATGTAGTTGTTTTCAATGTTGTCGCTTTTACATCCATGTTGGATGGGAGGATAAGCATAGGTGTCATTTGTTGGTAGGAAACAGATGGCCCTGGTTGAACTTCTTTTTTTTTACAATCTACCAGGGCCATGTATATTCCCAAAAGGATACCGACGAGGGTAAGTGTCTTGCTTTCAACATGACGTCCCCCGCACACTTGAGATTTTGGCGGTTTTTGCCGCTTGTCATGTCAGGTGCTGAGCACCATCAGCGCGCAGGGCATCAATATCATCAAGATCGAAAGCCCCCGGGCAAACACACACTCAGCCGGTTGGACTACGAAACTGCACCGGCATTGTTTGCAATGCGCCTGAAAAGTTTATAAGGTACTAATGGTATTCTTCTAAGACATATACATACATGTATGTATATAGGTTAGAGCCGGCAGAGCCGGGGGGCGCAAGTTTCTAAAACAAACGGGACTTATAGAATTTGCGCTGTTGCTGGTTTCAGAGGGGATGCCTTGCTCCTTGAACATGCCGTGCCAGAAAAAAATGCTCCCACAACCTCCCAGTCACACTTCTTTCCAAGCAAACGCTGCAGCGCCTCGCGGTCTGAAACGGCACTCGTTCGGAAAGAAGACAGCTTCTCGCATCTGACGCTCGCTTTGGCGCTCAAGTTGAAGCTGGCACCCTATGCCGAGTGACCAGAGGAAGAAACAAGAACCCTTTTTTTCAAAGTGACTTTTAGTGAGGACAAGCACAGTCGCAGCTCCCAAGCCTTAAGCTGTTCTTGCTGCTGGCATGAAAGCGCATGCCCACGTTTCTTCAAAAGGCGATTAAAAGGCAGTCCTGTCAGGCACACCGGAGCGACCAGCTCTTGCCTCCCCAGTCTTTAGCAACAAGCCCAGGCTTGCACACTTCAGGCTGCGCAGCTCTTGCTCGTGCTCGGCTGAGTAATGAGGCCTGCAAACTGATCGCATTCCATGGCTTTCCGCGCCTGAACTGGCAACGGAACCGCGAGGCGACGCCGATTGCTGAGGAAAAGCATGTTGTTCTGCATGCTCTCCCGTGTGGTTGTCTATGCTCTGGCGTGTCTGTCCTGCAGGAACAAGCAACAAACAGGGACTGGAGCAAGTTGACTCTATTGTAATTCAGGAACAAGCAACAAAGAGTGACTGGAGCAAGTTGACACTTGTGTACTTAACTTGTGCGATTTTCAAGCTGGAAAAGTGTAATCGCACCTTCGATCACGAAAGTGCTGCGCCTGCCACGAAATCTGTAGTTGACCTTGCGAAAGTATAGCGCCCGCTACGAAATCTGCACCTAGCCTTGCGAAAGTGCTGCGCCTGCCACAACATCTATACTTGCCACGAATTCTGTACTTGACCTTGCGAAAGTGATGCGCCTGCCACGAAATCTCTACTTGACCTTGGGAAAGTGATGCGCCTGCCACGAAATATGCACCCGACCTTGCAAAAGTGCTGTACTTGACCTTGCGAAAGCGCCGCGCCTGCCACGAAATCTGTGCTTGACAGTGCGAAAGTGCTGCACCTGCCACGAAAACTTACCTTTTGCGATTTTCGAGCTGCAGCTGAAAAAGTTTAATCGTATCTTCGATCACGGAAGTGCTGCGCCTGCCAAAGAATCTGCACTTGACCTTGCGAAAGTACCGCGCCCGCGACGAAATCTGCACCTAGCCTTGCGAAAGTGCTGCGCTTGCCACGAAATCTGTACCTGACCTTGCTAAAGTGCTGCGTGTGCCACGAAATCTTACTCGACCTTGCGAAAGTGTTGCGCCTTCTGCGAAATCTGTACCTGACCTTTGGCAAGTGCTGCGCCTGCCACGAAATCTGCGTGTGCCACCTTGCACGTCCGTGCGAATGGGATTTGCGATGTGTCCGTGCCAGCATTGCGAAAATCCCGCGGCTGCCACGAAATTTGTAGTTGACCTTGCAAAAATGTTGCACCTGCCACGACATGTATACCTCGGCGCCTGCCACTCAAAACTGACCTTGGGACAAGTGCGCGCGTCCGTGCCAATGGTCCCCCGTCCGGACCCGTTCCGAGACCGTCCCGAACAGGCGCCGCGGCAGAGGTACCTTTCGCACATCTTCGGCAGCGACTTCCTGCACCCTGCCACGCTTTTGCGCATTCTCTATCTTTGCGCGCACTCAGACAAGATGCTGAAAACTGCCCCTGCAACGAAATTTGCGCTTCTAATATATTTCAAGTCTCTTTCTAATCGTCGGCCATCCTTCAATTAGTTTCCGTACCACGGAAGTTCCTTCTAAACTTACCTTGATTATTGATCTGCCGTTTGCATATCATTCCTGTTTGTGTTCTGTCCCATCTGCAAATCCAAAGCCATGTTTCTTGAACGTTCGCGATTGTTTTGTGTCCCATCTGCAATTTTATATCAACTCCAACCTGTTTTTGAATAGAACTTCTAACAAGAGTCCATTGTGATTAATGTCTATACTCAAATTCAAATTTAGCTTGTTCGAAATCCTTCGCAACATGATTTCATAGTAGAATTGTATATAGCTATTTAAATTCTGAATACATGCTTTCCCTATCAAATTCTAGCAAACCAAAAGCAGCACCGAAGGGACTTCGTGAAACTTAGCAACCCGCCTTGCGGGTTGACCAGGCCCCCAGTGGTCGACCGCGACCTCGGGCCAAGGTGGCCGAGGGCAACCTATGGTCGACCGGAGGTGCTCGACGACCAGGCTCCGAGACGACCTCGGCCCGAGGTGTGCGACTAAAATCTTGGACCTTGTGGCCCCGATCAACCTCGAACCCCAAGACGGGCCCGAGGAGCTTGGGTTCCAAAGCGGGTGACCAGGAATTCGGGCCCCGAGGCGGTCGAGCTGGGCACAAGTGACAGCTACCTCAGCCCAAGCCAGGCTTGTCGCCTTGGCTGTTAACGCGCCAGGGCCTCTTGCGCGCAGCGTCTGAAACTCCGCTCACTGCCGCCTTCCACTGAGCGACGGGCACGAACTCAAGACGGAGCCCGTGCTGGAGAAGTAGGGCCAACAACTTGGGAGCTCTTGAGCTCCCTTTGCCGCGTGCGGCGTCCAGAGCTCGTCGTTGTCCCCCACTCTGGCGCGCGCTTCCACGTGCAACCGCCCGAGCTCCTCATCTTCCATTCCTCGACCATGCCCTTGACCTGGCCCAAGCGCTCTTGCAGGTTGTTCATGGTCCTGTGGTTGTTCACCCAAGAAAACCTGGTTGAGCGCCGGTAGACACAGAAGTTGCGGCGCATGCCGCAACCTTGGCATCTTGAGAAAGCAACAGCAAGGTGTGGGGCTCAAACCACTGATTCTTACCCAGAGTTTGTTTTAGTTTATGTTGAGATGAGAAATGTTATTTTAATACATGCATTTGCATGCTTTCGAAAGGGTCAAAACAAGCTTACATATGACTTAGTGATTGAACACGTCAATTATTCGAGAAGAACTGTGTATTGGTTTAATAGTTTGCCAGCGTAGAAGACAAGAATACACCGTGAAACTGCATACGTTTTGGCATGCTCAACTCAACGTGGAATAGCATCGTAGACCAGAATCCTGTCACAGGTTTTGTGCACACTTTCATGATTCCGTATCTCAAGCATCAGTCTATAACTCATAGAAACCACGATGCCAGGCAGTCTGACATGAAAAATGTGCACAACTACTCGAAAGGCGCTCAAAATGCAAAATGTAGATCAATAGGGGGCTGGCCACATTTGTGCCTATAAAGAATATAAATAAAGTAAAGGTGTATACCGGATTGTCAAACGGAAATCCGGACCCAAGGCACCCCAAAAACACAGTGGTTGCCAACAATGAAAATTATCTAATTTCATGTACAAGTTGTACCGGCTGGGATACTGCAAAGAAACTCACTTCCATCAGACAAACTGCTATCCCATCTAAGTGAAGGAAGGTACATCAGCCTCCTGACAGCTGACATGCTTTGCGTGATTAACACCACTTGTGAATCACAATGTCGTGTTGAAGTCGAAAGTACTCCGCTCTTCTCGATATCTTCCAGGGGCAAGACTGATTGGGGTCAATTGATTGGAACTACAATCGGAGCTTGACATCATGGTATATAAAGGCATGCTGTTTGTTGTGCACGTGTATATGTATGTAGATGCTGGTACCCATGTAGTCGCCCCAAGGACTCAGCGCGCGAGACATCGCGTCGCTGCAGTTTACCGCCCCTCGGCGGTGAACTGCGTTCCGGATCGCGCTTCGGAGGGTTGTGGGCATGAGGCACCACTGAATATTGATGTCCACCAAAAGGTCCGGGATCACCCATTGAAGTTCATACAGCATGCTCAAATTACACACTGACTCAGGGCCAGAAGGGTAGCCATTGCCGAAAAAGGCTAGTGGTGACTTTTCAGGGCCAAGGACCATTGAGTACCATGACCTTCTCATGGCTCAGGCTATTGTTTGGCCTGAAGCGCTACAGTAGTGGGTTTCTGCGAGACACTAATTACGATATTGGTAGCGGCCACTCAGTGGTGGCTGGGGGAGACTGAAGGGGCATGGCCGAAACGAAAAACTTTGGAATTTGGCAAGTTTCGCCGCGTCAAACGGAACATGAAGCTGCGGGCCGAAGGTCTGCAGATCTCGGACTGGCTTCAAAACCCGAGCTTGAAGGAGAGCGTCGAAAGCTGAAAGCAATGCCGCATCATGGAACCACAAAGAAACGAGCTGCAGTGAACGCATATCCGAATCTCACGAAGCTGCGAAGCACATGCCCTGCTGAAGGCTGCTTGCCACCTCTTTGATTAGGGCTTTGTAGGGCCCGTTGTTGACGGAAGTGCCAGAATGCATGACCATGGACGTGACACTGCACTGAAGATGAAATCCCTCTAAGCACTGGATAGAGTCAGCCAGAGTGACTGCTAGGCCCTGAAACTTTGTTCGGAAAGTTCGGGGTCGGCCATGTCACCCGTTAAGCATGCTTGTTGAGTCAACCGTTTCGTTAGGCGTGTGGTTCGCATCGTTTTGTTTGCTGCATCGCAACTGCAGGATTGAGTGAGGATAGACCTTGTGAAAATGCTATTAAACATTGCTGAGCCCTTGATTGAGTCATGTCATGCATTTGGCTATCGCTTGTGGGTTTGATTGGCCTTGCGAACTTGGCAACATTCAGGCCATCCGCAGAGCGAAGCACATGAGTTGATGCCTTGGAACGCGTCCTCATCTCTGTCCCATTTTTTCGCAAACACAAGGGCCAGGATGTTGCCACAGGGTGATGCGTGTTTGAAGGCTTCTTGGATGTTGAGATGGAGAATGCACCATGTGTTCAGCGCAAGGTCTAAGGTATGTAGCAACTGGCATTGTTTTTGTTGATCGAGCCAAGGGCTGAGAGTCACGAGCGCTGACCTAAGTTTTGGGGGTAGTTTCCCATGCCCATGCCAAATGCCGTCACCACCAGGTCACCCCAAATGAATGCGCCCAAGCTATGCGGGCTTCATGTTAGCTGCTTCTTATGTTACACCAAGGTCGGCTTGCCAGACAACCTCTCCTCTGATGATTTTGCCAAAAAGATGGCGCCGGGGCAGAATTGTGGGGGGGGGGGGAGTAGTTTGTGGTCACATGTAGTAAGGGATGTCCACTGGTCTTCTGGTGTGCAACCGGAAGCCACAAGAAACCGACGCCTATTAGAGTCCAAAGGATTTATATGCATGTATGGACATGTATGAAGGGTTTGGAGCAGATAGCGGTCCCGCTTGCAACCCCTTTTCATGTGTGTTCGTTGCGCCTCCATGCGTCTTGGCAGAACTATACACTTCAATCAGCTCTTTGTTGGCCACATTTGATTCTTGTTCACCTGTTCATAATCAAATACACAGACGCAGACACAGAGACACAGACACAGACACAGACACAGACACACAGACACACAGACACACAGACACACAGACACACAGACACACACACACACATACACACACATAGACAGACAGACAGACAGACAGACAGACAGACAGACAGACAGACAGACAGACAGACAGACAGACAGACAGACAGACAGAGAGAGAGAGAGAGAGAGACACACACACACACACACTGGCGCACGCACCCAGGCACGCACGCACGAACGCACCAACGCACGCACCCACGCACCCACGCACCCACGCACCCATGCACCCACGCACCCACGCACCCACGCACCCACGCACACACGCACACACGCACGCACGCACCCGCACCCACCCACCCACCCACCCACCCACGCACGCACGCACGCACGCACGCACGCACGCAAGCACGCACGCACGCACGCACGCACGCACGCACGCACGCACGCCCGCGCACACACACACACACACACGCATTCGCCGCTGCATGCTCGGCTGATGTGATTCCGTTGTCATGTGTGTTTTACAGTACTTAATCCCCATTGCTACTTGCAATTGGGCTGTTCCTCATGCTTGAAACATGCTATTGCGATTGTTTTGTCGTTCATGACATGGGTAGCCCGTAGTCCGGTGTGAATGTGTGTGTGTGTGTGCGTTGTTATTGCCTGAATCTCAAGCATTGCAGCATGCCGTGCTTGACCTCAGCAGGAGGTCACAAGTGTCAAGCAGTTGGAGCTTGCCATCCAAGAAAAAATAGTTGAAGGCACATGGCACAATGCCATGTGTCTCTGTAAGTAAAAGGATGACCAAACGACAAGGAGAAAGTTGTGGCATCTTTGTTCGTCTACTCTACGCTTTATTCTTGCTGGTTCTCAGGGAATCACGGGCTTTGGGAGTGAACTTAGGGGATTCACAAGGAAGCAACAAGGAATGATTCATAGGGGCCAGGACCATACCTATTGAACCTGCACATATTGGAACGAAATGAGGTGGAGGTCTCCAAAAACCACGGCGCCGACATCGCCATCCAGCGCGACGACTTGGAGCGCTGGATGCGACGCCACCCATCTAGCATTGACACAAAGGACTCGTTGGGCTGCCAGTTGGATTTGGGTGTGTCTTTATCTTGGGACTCACAACATGGTGTTGTTCCCTTGTTTTCCCTTTAGACAACAATACCAGCAACAAAACAACACCGCCCCCTCCTCTCTCGAAGTATGCGAAATTCATTAGCCCCACCCCTGCTTCCCTGTCTCAGGGAAGCCAGCAGGCAGTTGTTCAAATACTGGTTTCAAGCTTCAGCATGGTTCAACAAGGGGTTGGCCCAAAGTTGAGTTTTGCGTCAAGGCTGTTTCGAGCCGTTCCCAACGGATGGCCAACACAAGGGTCAAAGATTGGCTGGAGGGTTTGGAAGGCTGATATGATATAAACCTCAGAAGGGAATTGTTTGGAAGTTTCAATAGGACACCGGTAAGAAGGCGACCCACCCAGTGTTGAGAAATCTCATTTTCTATGGATTCCCTCCACGATTAGGTTCGCCCGAAATAGGTGAGGTTATTGTTGGTGTATGTTTGGTTTCCCTTTGCACCAAACCTAAGAAGTGTACCGTCACATGCAGACACACCTGTCCCAACTGCCTTTTGAAGAGATTTGAAACGCGAGACCCAAAAGCAACTCAACTACAAAGGAGGGTTTATTATTTAGAATATTTACGCTAACCCCCGCCATTTCTGTGTATCTTCCCCCAGATGTGCATTGGAGTTCGTAGGTCCCCTTTTGCTTTGAGCGTCTTTCCGTCAACACTCCGCCAACAAAGTAGGAGTCTGTTTTGTCCATCACTGGGCAAGCAGTTCCACCCTTGAACCTCGCCGATGTTCACTGATTGCGGTAGTTCCGGTGAGGAGACAAAGAAGGACAGAGCTTGAGTCAGGAGAATTGGGAGCTAGCAACAGATGCGCCAGTATCAGGGTTGCTTTCAGCCAGAGCTTGATCAAGCCCCCGAGCGGCAGAGACATGTTAGCGCTGTTGTGCTGTCCTATTGCATATCAATATGCTGAGGCTGTAAAAAGTGCACAGAAAAGGGGGTCCCAAGTTTTCTGCGTGTGTTCACACACACACAGACGCACACCCTGCCCTGCTGGCATGTTGGGGAAAGCTGCATCAGAGCGCACACTCAAAGCCTGGAAGTTCAGCGGACAATCCCAACCAGTAGGACAAGACGCCCTAATTCAATGGGAACCCCGGAGTAAGCGGAACCCCTGGTTGATTGATAGGGGGTCTGATAAATCCTTTAGATTTGTGGGTGACACCCCCCAGAGGATGGGTTCTACTTAAATCCCCCGTCAACATTACATGGTGGGGGGACTCCTTTGACCCCTGTTGCCATGTCTCAGGGATCCTGACTCCTTCCGTGTCCCTTCTTGGGTTGGTTCATTACGCTTGGGGTAGTTCAACTGGGTTAACGATTTTGATTTGTTTTTGCCAGGACCCAAAAAGTAAGGATTCGGACTAGCCCCCACCCATTTCGCACAGCCCAAGGAAAAATCAACTGGCACCTGCCCGCGCGGTTCCCTACAGCCCAACCCCTCCCCGCCATTTGGCCATTAATATCGGGACCCGCAACAGTTGCTGGATATGAATCCCAAACGAATTTCGATGACCAAAGATTACTGAATTGAAATGTCTGCCCATCTTGGGGTGTGCTTGTTTGGGGAAACCTCTTTTGCTTGGGTTTCAACGGAAACAGAAGGGAATCCATAAGATTCATTTTGAGACATCTTTTTTGGAGTCCTGAGCGGCCTGAGCAACAAGGCTTGGTGGTCTTCGATATGGACAGCACCCTGATCCAGCAGGAGGCGAGCTTGGCTGCGCACCCATCGGTTTCTCAGGGAGGCACAGATGGCCCGTGTCCCAAAGCGGGTCAAAGTCGAAGGTTTAATTGGCTGAGTGGGATCGCCTTGGACTGCTTATTTTTTGGGGTTGCACCAAAAATGGTCGTGGACATAGATCCCCATCTAAATGATGTGCACCAAGGCACCAAAGCACCAAGGACCCCCATACTGGTCGAAATGGTCCGTTTGAAAGGGAGATGAGGGCACTTGCACAAGTTCCTACAAAGCTAGCGGACTCACTGAGGCAACAGCACATGTTGGACCACGGCTCGGATGTACCACGACCTTTGTTCGAATTATTTAGGGCCTTATAATACCTCAGTCAATCAAAGCGTTGGACGTTAGTGGGGTACATTTCCATCCTGTCCACGGCTATGATTGTTGGAAAGAGGGATTGTCTGAATGAGGGTAGCGGCGTGGCTGGTTTTTGCTGTGACCGCATCCTCCTCTTGACCTTTTGGAAACAAATAGATGTTTAAAAAGAACTACAAAAGGTGGACCTTTTACCCGGAAGAGGAAGCCAGGGAGGTATCTCCCAACGAAACCCTTAGACTCATCTCACTCGAGGTGATCGATGAACTGGCCAAGCTGGCAGGCGTAGAGACCAAGGTCAAGGACCGCCGATCGCAAACTGAACTGAATCGCAACCTGCTCGTGGGAAACTATGGCCAGCGCAAACCCAACCAAGACTTCACAGAGGGTTTCGGTTTGGATGTGGTTTCAGCTATGAGTATCCCTCACTTGGGTCCATTGCTTGTTGCATGTGTGAAGTGTGGCTTTCCAGGAGGCAAAGTCTAGGGTTCAAAGCATAGGTCTCATTTGTGTACAGGTCAGTTTGGATGAGAACAGCTGGCCGTCAATTCACCTTGTTCGGACATCCAAGGAGTTTCATCGAAACCTTCCAGTAAGTCCCAACGTTTCTCAGACTTTGTGTACCCCAGATGTGGTCCAAGTTTTGTACCTTTCTCCACGACTTGTTTCTGGAGGGGAGCCCTGGCACGCACACACGTATACATAGTTGTTTGAGTTCCCCACAGAAAACGGTCAACACAGGAGGTCCCTTTCTTGCCGAAAGGGTCAATAAGTCTTGAGTTTTCTTCGTGTGTCCCCAGATCCCATGAGTACCTTTGATTCCTTCCATCCCAAAAGGGGAGTTTCTAGTGCTTTTCCTGGCTCCTCGCCAATCTCCTTTTAGCTACCATGTCTTTGCCTGCCGAACTTGTGCCAAGATGAATGCTCGAAAAACACTGGGTACCCTCCAATTTTGGCTGTAAGCTGCGAAATGCCTGGCCGTTTGGAGTGGTTGTTCAACTTGGCATGCCAACCGTGCCCCAGAAAATGTCAACAAAAGCACTACCCTTCTGACTTGGCATTGGTTCCGGAGGACGTCCCATTTTGTTGTGCTCTTATTTTGGTTTGCTCCGGCGTTCCGTTTAATCACAGCCAAGGGGGAACCTTGGCAAACTCAACAGGAAGCAAGCTTGCCTTTTCTGTTTACCTTCGTGAAACCAAAGAAAGGCTTAGTGGCACGGATGCAGCCACAGCCATGAAATCTACCATATTTACCTCAGTTTCCCCTGGGTCGCAGTATATATTGGAGTTGGATAGTTCCTTGCCTTTTGATAGCTGAAATTTGGATGGAAAGCAAATACAATTGGAAGGGAACGCGCAAAAGACTACAACTTGGAAGAGAAACCAAGCCCCCCCCCCCTCCGCCAATATTTTCAAAAAATCAAGAAGACCTCACCACCCCCCAACCGTTTTTGGGACCCGAAACCCAGCAGAATCCAACCCGGTTGGCTTAAAGTGGGTCCCAGGGGTTTTCGGGCCGATTCGGCCGGTTCTTCAGGAGATCACGGAGGCTGCGATGCGCGGGGAGTTGGACTTCTTCGGATCTCTCAAGTCCCGGGTGGCGCTGCTCAAAGGCCCCAATCGTGGCGCTCAACAAAGATCTGAGGAACCCCTCCGGTTGGGGAGGGGTTGGGGAGGGACTGCCTATGGGAGCATTTTGCCGGTTCAAAAGCTGTGATTTGCGAACCATGTGTCCTTGTTTTTGTCCGCTTCCTGTGTGCTTTCGTTTGGGTCCGTGTTTCATGGGGTCCTGTTGTTGTTTTATGTTTGGTTCCATGTGTCCTTGTCATTGTTGTTTCCCATTGTCACACTTGTTGCCGTTTGTCTCCTTGTCCAGTTGTCCGCGTGAGGAAGGTGCGCGGGCCCTCGATCCAGAATCAAGAATCGAGAAGCAATGAGCTTGAAACCAAAGATGCAGCCTTGTTGACGCGGAGCGGCTACAGAGCGATCGCTCCATATGAGGTAGTCGCCGGTCCAGTTCTACATGTGTGTGTGTGTGTTTGTGTGTTTTAGGCGTGGGCTCCCTTTGAACCCACGCCCTTGGGTCCCCAAAAACAAGCCACTCGCATGTCATCCTACTGTGAAGCCGAATCTTCCGATTGCGAGCGCCTGGTCGCGAGCTGCCAGGCCACAATGCAGAGCAGCTCTTTGAGAAGGCCACTCTTAGATTTGGGGTTTGTGGGGTTGGGAGGGTTGGGGTTTGGGGCGTCGAGGTTTGGTTTGGGTTTGAGGGGGATTGGGGGGGGGGGGGGCGGGGTTGGGGTTTGAACAGATACTTGAATAGGGCCTGGGATGGACTTGGGTTGGTATTTCTCTGTTTACAATTGGATCCGCATTCACTTACCACATTTGAAAGATCGATTCGGCAGGCGAAAGGAAGAGCCGTTTGCAGGATTTGAGCCACACGCTGTTTCCTTGGATATGAAGCCAAGTTGCTTAGACTGGCCCCATTGCTTTACCATTCTCAAACTCATCCCCAAGTGGCATCATCCGTTCTGAGTTTGATAACCCCCAAAAAACATCAAAGTAATGGCCCCAGTTGGACGGATGGGCGCAAGACTTTGTGCGCAGGTCAAAGCAAACATCGTCTTCACCCCAGGTGCGAAAAAGCTTTGCACCTGCCTCAAGCGCCGCTTGGCTTGGCCTTTTTCGCGTGTTTGGGGGTTGCGTTTGGGCGATCCACACGTACTCAAGCAAGCCGCAATTGGTGATTTGGATTGATTTGGGGATTTGAACCCCGGTTCATGTAGAGGGTAAATGGGAAGCCACCCCTCTAGCCTCCAAACCAATCCAAACCACCCAGTAGGGGGAAGCTGACTTACACCTTTTGGCTGAGTTTGTCAAACCTAGTTGAACCTGACTGACCAACAAGCCTCTTGGCAAGCATGTGGCATGTCACAATCTGTTAAACCTGACCACCAGGATCCCAGGCTTGCCTGGATACAAAGCAACGCTGGATGCTGGTTGGGGTCTTTTTCAGAGGGGGGGGGGGGGATTCCAAGCGGTTGGCTGCTTGGGTTCCACATGTGTTGTTTTTTCAGGGAGTGTCCATGTACAATCAAGTACCAAACAAAGGGTGCTTTGTTTTCTCATCGTCATTGGGCTTCTGGGCAGGTTCGAAGATCCCTTTTGAGACATCTTGGGTAGACCTCTTGGGTGGGGGGGGTGGGGGTTCCTGAGTCGTGGTGCTTGCTATTTGAAGGGATCAACCATATTTCGAGCGGTTCGATTCGTGTGTTCACAGCGGTCCGAGAGGGTGTCCACTACCTCATTAACTAGCCCCACACCACTACCGAGAAAGTTTATATGTAGGATCTTTGTATAAGTCATTGGTATACCAGTTGCGATGGAGAAATCTCGCTCAGATCAAGTCTCCTCTTTTTTTTCACTGGGCCAATTTGTTCCATCTTTTGACTTGTGTGGAGGCTTGGGATTCAAAACGGCCGTCATCTCTGGCGGCTTCCTGCCGGTGGCACAAGAGGCCCGACCAGGGTCCCTGATCCCGCATTGATTGGGATAAACACGAACTTGCCATTGCATCAACAGTGGCTAAGGGTTCCCCTGAAGTGGTACAATGCTTTGGGAGAAACAAAACCACCCCTGATTGGCCTCTCTGGCATACACGAGCACTTGTTTCTAGCTGCACTCTTCCTATGAATATCGGGCGGCCTTTTTTTCGGAAATTGCCATGAAAGCCTGAGAGCGGTTGTCTTTTGAAGAGAGCAATGTTCCAGGAAACGGAAAAGGAATCACCCCCTAGTTTGCCAGCAACACACTAGACTTCCACAGTCAGGTTCAAGAGGTTGCAATGTCATGGACGTCCGAACAGCAACCAGCCCTACTCAATTGAGGATGCTGTCTCCCCAACTAGTATGCATTGATCTCAAGTACAACAGGACACCCGGTGATCAAGCTCAACCAAGGGTATTCCTGGGTGCCCCTCTTCTCCCAACTTGTTTTTGTTGTCAACAGCATCCTGATTGGGGTAGAGGACCCAATCATCCGTCAAACATCATTATTCTAGTGCTTGACATGCTTGACCGAACAAGCTACCGGCGCCTCTCCCCCGTGTGGGGATCGTGGGGTAGCGAAAGGGGTTGAGAGCAGGTCTTCCAACGCGGACCACTTCGCCCCATCCCAAGGGGCCATGGTTGCCACAGACTGGTACTTGGGTTAGGACGCTGGCAACTGGCCCGAAGCCGGGTTTTCCAGTGCCAACCAGAGAAATCAATAGCCCGTGCCACGCGGAAACTCCTTGCAGCTTGCGCATCTTGACCGGACAAAAGCAGAACCCGGCGGATGAGTTGTGGGGATGTTCCCCCCAAAAAGCAGTAAAGGATCCCCTCTCACGTGGGGACACCCCTATGAATCAAGCTGGGGTTATCAACTGATCACTGCTGGGATCTCTGTTGATATGATTTTACATGTGTAAGATTCACTGAATATGGGTATGTGTCAAAACATGGGTCACCTCAACAGTGGGGAATTGTGTATTGGCTTCCCTTTGAACCAAGACAAAAAAGGGTCCCTTGAAAAACCAACACACCCAAAACATGGACCAAAGCGAGTCCACCGCTTGTGTTTTTGCTTGAGCCTCCAGACATGCACCGGAGGTGCAGAGATACCTGGGCTTGGACTACGCCTTTGCCAACACGCTGGAGGTGGATGAGACCACAGGCCAGGGGCATAGAAGCGGCCGAAAACGTCTTTTAGTCTTTTACTGTTCGACCCTACATGGAGTCAATTGTACGACCGGTTTGATTAGGGTATTGTTTTTTGTTGGGTATCTGCAAACTCGCAAAGTATCCATTGCACCCGACCACCCCCCCTGTTGGTGGTTGCGCAGCGGGTTCCACCATTGATTCCCCGTGTGCCTGATGCCCACCAAAGGGCCTCCAAGTCACCCAGAAACCGCAAGTCACTCAGAAACCATCTAGGCAAATTGATGCAGCATATCCTTGTTTCCGACAATGATACCTACAGACAAAACCATGGACGCAAAAACCGAATCCTTTGGTGTCTCAAGCAATTTTGTTGCCTCCCTGAGCTCATGAATTGTATACGTTGCGGAAAAAGACGAAATCAAGTTTGAGCTTGTTTTGGCCAATGCACTCAGGAAGTGAGGACATTGGCCAGGCTGCGGGAATGAGGATCTGGTTTCCACGCCTATACGAGGGAACCTCCCTCACAGAATTTGCATTTGGAAGGCTGTTTATTGGTGTTATCATTGGCTGGCCATTGGTGTGACCGAATCGCCCGGTAGACCTTTTGGATGTCTATCGGACAGCTCTCTGCATCTGAGCCCCCTCAGGGCATCGTAGTCTGTAGGTGTCACTTCGGAGATGCGTGCAGATCGCCAGGAGGACCTTAGACCTTTTGGAAACAAATGGTGTTCCATTAAGAACTTCATCTGCGAAGGGTCTACTGATCCTGTGCTCGGGGTGCAAATCTACGAGCCACCCGGCAATTCCATCACTGGCCAGGTTGTTTGATGGTTTCAAAGGAGGCCAAAAGAAAACTCTCTTTGTGTTTCTCGGGGGTTCCCCGATTTTACCCGCCCTCCAAAAATCATTGAAGCTGGCAGGAGCCGGTTAGGAAGACTACTTCCTTTTGGGGAACTTATCCACTTCCATGGTGTTGGAAGGAAGGCAAAACCCAGCCACCCACTCCCCCCCCCCCACCCATTTTTAGGAGGTTTGGATCTTAATCCACTCTGGACATTATCTTCCAAATCGCCAGGCTTGCTGACGGGGAAGACCTCTGGGCCTGTGGTAACGCCGCAGCGGAAGCGCCAGCTATTGGCCACCATCGCCAACGTGGAAGGCCAAACATCTGGATCAATCGGACAGACGGGATCCTCCAAACCGGTCAACTTGTGGCGCCGTTTTGGGGGTGGAGTTTGAAGGGAAGCCAAATGAATGATGGGGGCGTTTGCTATTGAGATATGGGTGCGGTTTTGAGGTTAAAAAAGGAAAGGGACATCGAAAGAGTCTACCCATTTTGGGGATCCCTCTACGGCCTTACGCCGCCAGCACGCTGCGCCTAGTAATGTGTCCCCTATTTGAGTAAATAAACCCATATGGAGAGCAAGCGTCATCAGCCTCCGCGAAAGTTTTGCAGACCACTCACTTTGGTGTGTTCCCTCCTACATTTGGCGACAAACTATGGGGTCCATCGGGGGCACCGAGCTCCTACGGCAGCCGGAGAGGCGGACCTGCAAACCAGTCCGGCAAACAACGGAAAGCGCCTGCCACGGCATGCGATGGCTTTCCCTTGTTTTCCCTTGCTTTCCCTTGCCTTCCTTCGCTTGACCTTGCTTTGCCTTGCTGTCCCTTGCTTTCCTTTGCTTTGCCCGTGCTTTAGCTTGCTTTGCCTTGCTGTCCCTTGCTTTCCCTTGTGTTCGCTTGCTTTGCCTTGCTGCCCCTTGCTTTACCTTGTTTTCCCTTGCTTCCCTTGCCTTGCTGTCCCTTGCTTTCCCTTGTGTTCCCTTGCTGTCCCTTGCTTTCCTTTGCTTTGCCTTTCTGTGCCCGTGCTTTTGCTTGCTTTGCCTTGCTGTCTTGCTGTCTCTTGCTTTCCCTTGCTTTGCCTTGCTTTGCCCGTGCTTTTGCTTGCTTTGCCTTGCTGTCCCTTCCTTTCCCTTGTGTTCCTTTGCTTTGCGTTGCTTTGCCCATGCTTTTGCTTTCTTTGCCCTGCTATCCCTTGCTTTCACTTGTTTTCCCTTTCACTTGCTTTCCCTTGCTTTCCCTTGCCTTCCTTTGCTTTGCCTTGCTTTGCCCGTGCTTTTGCTTGCTTTGCCTTGCTCTCCCTTGTTTTCCCTTGCTTTCCCTTGCCTTCCCTGGCTGTCCCTTGCTTTCGTTTGCTTGTCCCTGCTTTCCCTTTCCCTTTCTTTCCCTTGCTTTGCCCGTGCTTTTGCTTGCTTTGCCTTGCTCTCCCTTGTTTTCCCTTGCTTTCCCTTGCTGTCCCTTGCTTTCCTTTGCTTGTCTTTGCTTTCCCTTGTTTTCCCTTTCCCTTGCTGTCCCTTGTGTTCCTTTGCTTTGCCTTGCTTTGCCCGTGCTTTTGCTTGCTTTGCCTTGCTCTCCCTTGTTTTCCATTGCTTTTGCTTGCCTTCCCATGCTTCCCTTTGATTGTCCTTGCTTTCCCTTTCCCTTGCTTTCCCTTGCTGCCCCTTTCTTTCCCTTGGTTTCCCTTGGTTTCCCTTGCTTTCCCTTGCCGTCCCTTGCGGTCCTTTGCTTTCCTTTGCTTGTCCTTGCTTTCCTTTGCGTTGCCTTGCTTTCCATTGCTTTCCCTTTCCCTTGCTTTCCCATGATTTCCCTTGCAGTTCCTTGCTTGCTGTCCCTTGCTTTCCTTTGCTTTGCCTTGCTTTGCCTGTGCTTTCGCTTGCTTTGCCTTGCTGTCCCCTTGCTTTCCCTTGTGTTTCCCTTGCTTTCCCTTGTGTTTCCCTTGCTTTCCCTTGCTTTTTTGTTGCTGTCCCTTGCTGTCCCTTGCTTTCCTTTGCTTTGACTTGTTTTGCCCGTGCTGTTGCTTGCTTTCCCTTGCTGTCCATTGCTGTCCCTTGCTTTGCCTTGCTTTCCCTTGCCTGGCTTGCTTTCCCCTACTTTCGCTTCCTTTGCCCTTGCTTTCCCTTGGTTTGCCTTGCTTTGCCTTGCTGTCCTTGCTGTCCCTTGCCAGCTTGACCCAAGTCAGAGCAAACCAACAACTGCACAACCCTCCTGCACTGAAACACATGCAAGCAACACCCCAAACCAGCTCCCGTACTTACACATTCCGTGTCGTCTCCCTGGGACCTGCAAACCAGCCTTGCGGTGGCAGAAAGTGCTCCAAAAAATGCTCCCAAAAAATGGGTGTATTTTTCCTGCGACATCCCCAGCATCGCCGACCACCACAAAAACTTCCAAAACAAGCGACATCCCCTGCATCCCCTGCATCCCCGGCACCCCTTGTGCGCCCAAGTCCGGCGAGGCCGGAAGCAAAGTAAAATGATGTAAAACTGGCACGCTTTTTGGCCCGCGAGAGCCACAGACGAAAAGGTCAGACATGATAGGCAGCGTCGACGAAAAAGCGCGAAAAACACAGGGAAAAACACCAAAAACCAGCCTTGCTGGCAGAAAGTGCTCCAAAAAATACTCCCATTTTTTTGGAGTATTTTTTGGCTGACCAGACCTGCAAATCACCCGGAACGAGGTTACCCCCCCCCCCACAGCGTACACTAACTCCCAGCGCTTCAAGAAGCGCTTTCCGTCATCCACCAGCTGCTTGAAACACAGGGGAAAGAGGGCAAAGTTCTATTTAGGTTTGTATCAAAATGGAGAACCCTCAATTGGGTGGAGGGGGCTTTGGCTCATGGCTCTGTTTGCCTCCGGGGAGGCTGCGAGATTCAGCAGACCATCGCAGTGGGGGACGGAGCCAATGACATCCCCATGCTCCATGCTGCGGGCCTGGGCATTGCATTCTGCGCCAAGCCCAAGGCGGTACATTTCGGCGCTCGGAATCGAGATGGCTTCTCTTTAAGCCAACCCCAAACAGGGGTACCCTCAAACAATGAATTGGTTATGTGTTTAAAGAATTTATTGGAAGTCCTCAAATTTGTTTGGTGCATGAATCCCCGCCGAATCCTGATGCCCACCAAAGGGCCCGCGGTTAAAATGTGCAGCTGTTTGTCAATTGTCCAGTTGGGAGGGACACAGGCGGCACAGGGGACTAGCTCTCTCCGTTAGGGAGGCACATGAAGAATCTCACCGAGCTTCCTACAAAAGGCAGAGGACTCACTAAACATCCATATCCCATGTCCTCTACGGTATCTACATATTTTGATCGTGCTACTTACTGTCATCTACTGTAGCTAAGGGAATGACACGGGCCACCCCCACCAATGGGGGGGTACTCACCCAAATCCCACTATCGTTGGAGGGTGACTTTTCGACATTGGAGGGTACCCGTTTTTGGGATGAGATTGAAGGGAAACCTGCAAAGCCACCTTTGTGGCGGCTTTCTAGACACAGCCGTATGTTACATCCACGGACTCCTTTGGTTTTCGCTCGCAAACAAGCCACAAATTGGTACCTGCAGAACATAGCACTCATACTGCAACTGGTCAGGGAAAAGTTCGGCCCATAATGTGGAGGGAATACTGACTGCTTATTGTGTAGCGATCTCCGCTGGGGTAAACCAGCTCTCCAAGCTGTAGTAACTGATGTACACCCTCGGACTCATTTTTTACTTTGGAATATATGCAGATACAAAGAAGGCAAGTCCCTAGGAAAGCCCCCAGCGCCCTGAGGATCCTGACAATCAGGATCCTCAGGCTACGTGGTTTGCTGAGGTGCCGAACAAAACTACTTGGGTGCTATTTTGGGGGAAGTGAGAAGTTTCCTACTAAGTTTGACGTTTGGGCTTACCGGCGTATTTCAATGGAGAGTCATGGGCTCAAACGGTGACTCATACACATTGACTTTCAGGCCGGTGCCCGACCCGGTACTTCATGGCCTTCTCGTCGAGAGAATCCCCAGCCCCGGAGCTTGTTGCAGTCCGTTTCGTTGAATGAGCCTTCCGGCAGATGCCCAAGCCTTCGCCCGATTTGGAAAGCATGGACCCTTACAGAAAACAGGACCCCCCACCGACTACAAGGGCCTAGAGTATTAAAATGGTTGCGGGGCACTATCGAACTGAGCTACCTCGTGTGCGAGGGCCAATATCGCGTGGAATGTCTTACTTACACATTCCCCACTGGCTTGTTGATCGTGATGTTGCCACTACCGCCCAAACAGTGTTCAGCCCCTTGTCTTAGCCTCTTGTTTTACCGCGGGGAGAAGAGTGCTCTACACTGCTGTCCCGCAGGTGCAGGAGGTGTCGCAGTTCAGGATCAACCAAATGGATTTGAGCACAGTGCTCTTCCTCATTGGCATTTCAGAGACTTGTCTTTGAACAGACGACATGTGCGGCGTAAACAACAGTTGCGAAACCCCAAAGCGCCAAATCCAAAAGGAAGCCCGGAATATCCATGCATCCTGCCCCGTGAGCCGTTGAGCCACATGAGTCACTTCAGGGCGGGAACGAACTGTTTTGATGACCCTGGCCCTTTTGACCGACGGCCATTTGCAGGGGAGTCAGATTTTCAACTTGTTAAGAATGGAAACAATGATTTCAAAACGGCTGCGTTGCGCATTTCGATCCAACAACTGCGTATTCAAACGTGAGCGGTGGCGCTCTAATTTGAGAAAGGCCATTACAGCAGACAGAGGCGGACCGTGCCTGCAGGCACACCGTGGACACATCTGCACCTGCTCACTCATGCACCCACACACACACACACATGCACAGACTTGATTGTACCCCGTTCTCAAGCTTTTTGGTGAATGAGGGCCACTCAGGCACGGGGTGCGTGGAAGGTGTGAGAACGTTCCGAAAACGTTGTTTTTGCCTTCTCAGAACTCTTGCTTGCGTCGCTGCATTTCTGCCTCGTAGGGGCCCTTTCTTCGTGTTGGTTTTGCCCTAAAAGGGGTCACAAGAGTTATGGTCTGCACAAGTTGACGCCCTGCCATTGTCGAGGTTGTGACCCTCGCAGAATTGTGTTTGGTTCTTGGCCTCCTAAGTTGTGAAAGTCCGTGTAGCATCCCTCTGGTCAGTTTCACTTCATGTGATGAACAGTTTGGTCGACCAATCGTTGATGTATAACAGAGCGGCGGCCCGGCGTGTGTACTTTCGATACATCTGCAGTATAGGAATGTTAGGCTGTTAGGGAATCCGGCACATGGCCTTGGCACATGTCGAGGTACCCAACCATAGTTTCATTCTGGATTGGTAGGCAGACATGAAAGTAGGTTGCTGGGCCTCAGCTGACAGTGCAGGATTCCGTGTTCACGCGCGATCCAAGGAAAGAGCCATGGACCGCTTGTCTGAAGAGGGGGTGCCACTGCATCGCCAATTCAGCTAAAGTTCAGATCAGTCGGCCCATTTTCGCCCTGGCGGCAAGCCTCAGTTTCAGCTGGCCTTATCTCTTCCGCCCGTTTGTGACTCCGGTAGCAGAGGTAAGCTGCGTGTAATTGCAAGAGTATGCAAGGGAATTGCACAGCTTCCGTTGCCAGCATTCGGTTTCACAGATACCTTCTTAGGGCAGGGGCTTGCCGCAGACACGCAAGAAGCATGGCTTGGGGCCGGTCCATGTGCAAAATGGTTTGCATTCACGGAAACCGGAACAAACCGGAGTCACAATGCTACAAGGCTCATTTCCCCACACATGTGAGGATGATGTATTTTGAGCACCATGGGATGTACAGATCTCGCCGGAGTATTAACAAACAAGACAAAGGACACGGAACATACCTTTTGAAGGAGTCCTCCTATGGATATCCTCAACAGCATCCAGTCGTCATAGTCTTCCTAAGGGTTGCGTATTTGTGGAGAGGGACTTCCTAACTGCACAGTAGGCGATCGCCTTGGTTCGAAGATTGCTAAATGCTGTTTCTGCTTGGCATGCCAAAGGGAGCTTTGCAAG